TAAACAGAAAAGAAAAAAAAGAAAAAAAAGACAAAAAGCAAGACTGTCTCGATAAGAGTTTGGAATGTTATTCTGAAAAGTGACGTTTAATGCACCAAAAAAAACGGGAAATATAATCGCGTATTAAAGAAAGGAAACCTTGCTTGACTAGGCAATGGTATGTGTGTTCCTTGTGTTGATTTCTTTTGCGTTGGTTTTGTTACAAAAAAAAAAAAAAAAAATTCATATTTAACAGTTAAAACAAGTCATGCATTAGTTGCAGCGAAGCGGAAAACTTGTTCTAAACATTTTTGTGTCGATCCTTTTTACAATGCATTTGCCTCTCACTTCACAATAGGTGGACCATATGTTAAAATATGCTAAAATAATTTTGCCCAACACAACGAGCGTATAAAACATGTTCAATTTTCAATAATTGCTGGTATTTATTGCCCTCGAAAAAATTTCGTAAAATTTATTTAAATTAAATGCAACTTAAATGCTAGTTAAATGTCCATATGGCTTGCACAGATAGAGTTAAATGACTGAAAGACGGCAGAAATGCATATTTTCTCACTGCTTACCGTTAACTAATTGATTTCGTAGAGAAAAAATTTCAATTTTCCATAACGTTTCCCATCGCTGTAACAGAATCTCTGTGAAACGTATGTTCATGTTAGGGGTTTTGAGTTAACTTAATTTGTTGGCACTTTATCGAATTGTGAATTGAATGGAATTAACTTCAACGATATGCCCCACTCCCCGCTCCAACCCTCCGGTCGTTTTGTTATTTGCATTTTGCATTAAATTGAACTCAACGAATAATGCAACAACAACAACAACAACAACACGTACTGTGAGCTATTCAAGCCATTGCCTGTCTACTGTAAAGTATTATTACCTTGCATTATTGATTGTATAATAGTTAGTAGCCTTTTTCGGATTCTTTAAATAAAATGCAAGTTTTTTTTTGGTTTTTTTTTTCTCTGTCGGAATCATAAACATTCTCAACAGTTGATTGCTAAGCTTTCTTATGCTTAGAAAGCTTTTAACTTTGTATTAACGCGGCACTGCGTGCGTTCGACTCCACTAATATGTTAGAAAACGTCAAATCGTTTCGTAACATATAAAACACGATCTCAGCTTAGAGGCACATATGCTTACGCACATTTAAAATCACGTTACTTACATTATGTAAACCAAAAGCAAACACACGCGCACATACAAAAGGAAATTAAAATAAAGAAAACATTCATCAAGAGTCGCTATTAGTTTTTCGAAAAAACCAAAAAACAAGAAATAAAAATATATCTCAACTGATTTGGAGCATCGAATAATCTAAAAGAAAAAACCCCAAAAAATCAACTCATCGCCATAGCGTTTTTGGGGGCCTAGTGTTATATGTTTTTCATTCATTCTACATCCGGCATCGTCATTGCGGATTTAACGTTGGATGATACTTACGTTGTTGTTAGTTAATTCCTTACCTCTGAATTATTTCTTGCGCCGAGCATATTTATGAGGAATTAGACTGTACATTGACATAGAGTGACAATGAAATCTTCCGTAAGATTATGCAAAGTTCAAAGCATCGGTGAAGCCAAAATAAAGAAAAGGTGAATTTCCCAGACCATAAATAATAAAAACTTTTCCCAAATAACCTTTCCCATCATCGAAAAATTCTAATATTAATCATTTGGATTATAAGCGACACAAAAAGATTAAAATATGACAAAATAGGTTTACATTCATGTTTGTCTCCCCTTTCGTCCATTCAATGGCAAATATTGAATGTCTTCAAATAGCGAAGAATACAGTGATAGAAATGCGACACTTGCAGTAGAAATATTTTTAGTTAATTATATACGCACATCAGATCGGACAAATAGGCATAGGGCGCGCAAAACCGCGGCCACAATGAGCCAAAAATAGCTTCTTATTAACTATAATAAACATTGATCTGAAAATGAATGCAAATATTTTGCAGAGCTTTCTGCCAGATCTATACGATTTGCGAATTTTGATGACTATTTTCTTAAGACTCGTTTTATTCGTTTTTAAGTCAATATAAATTATTTAAAGAACTTTCTTAGCGAAAAACACATTTATTGAGATACAGTGATAAATAATAAAGTCAAAAGTGGAACTGATCAAAGAACACGAGCGAAAATTGCATAGGCAAACAATTAACGAAGTGGCAAGTTTAAGTTTAGTCGGCACACGCCTGCGGAAAGACTGCCTGGATGGCAAGAAAGTAAAGGCAACAATTTTTCGCTATAAAAACCAGGAAGAAACATTTAGAATTCTGCGAAACCAGTCAAGATGTAGTATCAGTTTTTAGTGAGCGTTATCGATGACTTCTGGGTGTAGGGGTAAGGTTTTTTAATTACGTGGTGGACGTCGCAAGACATATATATATAAATATTAATATATATTTACAAACAAGCTAACTGCCAACTTTATTAAGGTTCAAGTAACGAATTCCGTGTTCGCATTGAACCTGTTTCACACAACTAACAGTAGAAGAAGACGAACAAAAGGGGGAAGAAGGAGGAATTCGCTCAATTCGCTGATAGAGGATTTGATGGGTTGAGAAAGGAGCTTCGTTTCACATATCTAAGATTAAATTTAATTTCAATCGCGAAGATTCGCAAGTATAACTCTATGGTAAGTTTTACCTCCAATAGAGCAATCATGAAGGATTCTGCAACTAACAGAAATTTGACTGCTCTTGGAAATTCACGTTACAACAAAATTAAAGGATATAATGAATGATGATTTTTATTGAAAAGTAAGAGCGAGATACATACAAAAAAGTCCAAGTATATTAAGCGTTAGTAAGAAAAATGAAAAGGCGAACAGCGAATCAAAACGTTTTGATCCGACCATCAATTTGCACACTGAGCAGACAAATATTCGAAAGTTATGTAAAACAAAAGAGTTAAACAATCGTGAAGTTAGTTTCGATTACACTCCTCAACAAAATGGTATGTCGGAAAGGAATTATACAGCTATAGTGAGGATGGCACAATATATACCGATCGTAAGAGCATCTCAAACATATCTTGAACTGAACCCTATAGTAGTAGGATAAGTCCGCAGATTCGCGTAGACTAATAGTAGTAGTAGTACTAGTAGTAGTAGTATGTTTTAGAAAAAGCGAAAGAGAACCGAGAATTAAGCAAACCACTTACAGATGCAAAATTCTTAAGAAGAAAAGAGAAGAAATTATTTGAAATAAAAAGTTTACAACTTCAACGCCGCAGAGATAAAAGATCGATTTCAACAGCAAACCGAAATGGCTGAAATATCGAATCGAATCCAATCGAATCGAATCGGATCGAATAACTATAAAACATGAATATGACTAATTGCAGAGACAAAGCTTAGCTTATTCGGCTAAATAAAAATTGGTAGGTTACATAAGTAATGATTCCTTTGTCCCTATATGTTATATCTTTTGTAACTTGATTTGTTTCATATAATATTCTAATAATAATGAGAATTCGATCAGAATATATTTTGCAGAGAAGAATAGCCGACCAATAAGCTTACGGTAGCGTACATATACAGATACATAGACTATAAGGATATGTTCAAGCGTTCCCTAAATGGAATACCATTAAAACATTTGAAATAAAGTAAAGGAATAATTTATGAATTCTGCTTCTTTTCTTTTTCTTTTCAACAATAATTTTTATTAATTTTGCAGAAAGTATTATTAGTAAATTAATAAAGCGACAGGCACATACTCATATATATGTATATACATGAAATTAGGGTGATAAGGGAAAATATACAATTAAAAAAAACAAAACAAAAAGAAAATATCTAACAAAGACATTTGACCCATTGTTGTTGATATTGCCGCTGTTGCTATTGTCGCACTCCGCATGTCCTGGCACCCATTATAAAAGATAAGCAACCCTCTGCTTAAGAAAATGTAAAGAGGGGAAAAATATTTCGGCAGTTGCAGCGTTTCCTTTTTCTTCGCTTCCTCTTTTCCTGTTTTACTATTGTTTATACTGGAATCCTTCCTCGATGAACACCTTAAATTCTAGAGCAAAAATAATGCGCAACAACAATGCGTTTAGTGCACACGCACAGACATATATGTCTTCATGCGAGATCTTGCAAAAAACAATCGGATATTTCTTGCTGTGGTTTGTTTCACAGCTTGATGCACCCGGGGTTTTTGTTTTCGTTGTCTGATTACACAAAATGTTCTTTTCTTTTTAATAAAAATCAAATCTCTTTCTTCTTTGCACAAACGAGAAAACAAAAAAAAAATGAATTAGAAAAAACGGAAAGAGGAAGATGCTTAAATATTTCCTAATTGGATTGGAAAAATTCGTTTTTAAAATCTAGAATCATTACGACAGTATTGAAAACAATCGATCTGTTTCTAAATCCACCGTCGGATATTCAGTTGAAATTCCCAAAACTTCGACAAGCCTACTTTTCCATTCAAAAAACTTTTTAGTTCCTCTTAGTTTATCTCAAATGTATCTATACATATATATATATAAATATATATAGGATACTTTTCAAGCCTGGGTCTAAGCTTAAGTTGGAAAATCAAAAACTGAAATTCTAATTTGGTTCAAAATAAAACGAAGGCGGCTTATATAATATTCATATATTTTTTAAGTAAACTTTATTTCTTTTTAATAAACAATTAATCGCCTAGGCAAGCGAATCGTTTTCTATAGGCAATAAGTGTAGAGTAAAAGAAAAACCAAACTTAAAAGAGAATAAAAGTAGTTAATCGTAAGCTTAACATTTTTCTTTACATCATAACAAAGTTTACTTTTTCTATAGCGGTGTGCACGAAAAGCTATTGAGAATATGTCGGCATTCTTTTTACATATAAACCTGAGCTTTAATATTATAATAATCTTCAATAATAATAAACTTCACCTTCTCGTTAGGAAAGCACTGAAAGCTCTAATCAAAAATTGAGTTTTTTGATGGCACTCGTCTTCGGCTCTATATATATATATATATATATATACATATATATATATATATATATATATACATATTCATACATACATATATATATATATATATACAGATATATACATATTCTGTAAGCAAAAGGAGTAATAACATTTAATGCTTAAAAAAATCGAGGTAGTTAAAGAATATTTTTGAGAAGAAACCTTTGCTTACAAAACCGCCCCATATTTATGCAATCGTTAAAAAAACTTAATTAACTACTTATACAAAAAAGCAAAAAAGCAAACTAAAGTCAGTGAAATTTCACCGATAATGTTTTTCTTCGTTATAATCGTCGTCGTAATGACTTTTTGAACGATGATGACGATGATGATGTCGTTCGGAACGTCCTTTCGTTCGCTCTGAACGTCCTCGACTGCGACTACGGGAGCGATGCTTATGTTTGTGTTTCTTTTTGTGTTTCTCCCGATAATGCTCTCGTTCACGGCTGTTGCCCCGGTAAACGCTCTCCGGAGATGAATAGCGTTCTTCGTGCCTGCGGGATCTGTGTTCACGATTGACAGACGATGTTGGCAATGATTGATGATAATCACGATCGTCGTGCTCTCCTCGATAATTAGCAGGCGGTTTAGGTGGCGCTCTATTAACATATTGTTCACGACTGTGACCACGGCGCTCATAGTCGATTTCTGTTTCCATTTCTTCGTGACGTCCCCCTGTACGTACTGGAATATTTAAACCACCTGAACTTAATTGATGCACCGAGATATTGTTTTCACGACAATATTGTTCAATTTTTTTCTCAATTTGCTTCTGTATGGGCACGGGAATACGAGGAAATAGTGTCGAAAACCAATCCAATTTGGTTAGGAACTGATAAACCATTTGGCCAATAGTTATAATCTTTAAGGAAATAACGAAATGCACTTATTAATTATTACCAAGACTGGTAATAATAAAACTTCTTTTATAGGAAAAATTAAAATGGTCGTACAAGCGACTCACCTGGCCACCACCGGCCTTTACGTCGATCTCTTCTTCATCCTGCAAATAGTCTTCATACCAATCATAAAGATCTGCCGGTGGTTGGGTATATCTTAAGTACATGAATCCTAAACGAGTGAAAAACACATTCGAAAAACAAAAAAGGAAGTACAAGAATACTTTATTAATGTAAATTTTCTTTCTATACATAAAATACCTACTCTTTTGGTAGGAGATATTGAAACTTTAATATATTTTGGCTGAAATATTTGTGCAAATAGATTTTGTCAGACTCTCTTGCGACTTACCACTTACCTAAAGCCCTAATATAGGGTGAGTCGGTGTGATTTATAAGTCCGTTTACTTGCTTACGAGTCAAACGCAAAGTGTAAAGTTTGTACAGCAAACAGTAGGCTGTTGAAACTATACCACCGGCACCAACACCGCGAACCTAAGCACAAAATTAGATCAGAAATTACAATTACTACCATATATTAGCTGAATATCCATTTAAATAAATGTAAAAGATCTCAAAACGAAAAAGGTACATTTCATAAACTCACTCCGCCACACATGCCGGTCTGACCACTGGTCTTACGGGACCCACGTTCCCAAGGTTCCATATGCTTAACTTGATAGTAAATCTCGTCGACCACCTCATGATAAGTTTTCAATTTAAATAAATGAACTAAAATTGTAGTATAGACATGAAAATTACAAATTTGATAAGACGAAAAAAAACGGGATATATTCCGGAAAATATTCCTTGCTACTGTACCTTTGGAGACGTACCTTTAAAATAGCTGGAACTCTGTATATTGGCCAAAATCAAAGGATTCAAGTTCATGGTCGCTTCGTTTCCCCACAAAGGCAAAGTATTATGTTGCTTGCCAATTTTTTTGGCGGCTGACTGTGACGATGAAGCCTGGTACTCTAAAGAAAATTAGTATAATACGTTTTTTATTTTATTAATGAATTACAATTCGTATGCCCATTACAATATCTGTATTGAAAGTTTTCATATATATTCCCACTCAAATTACCTTCTTCCATTATAACTTTATTAATTACTACTCTATATATATATATACATATATATAAATTTTTCCTATTTCGCTATTTCTCCGAGTATTTCAATAAAACTAAGAATTTTTCTCCAAAACGTTTATCTGCCAACAAAAAAATGCGAAGCCGAAAGCAGGGTTACTTTGACGAATATTAAGTGGGGTATCGAATAATGAACTTCGTCCGGTATTGCCAAGCACACAAAATATATTTAAAAATTATTATTGCACGCATCTACTCTACTTGCGATTTGAGAGATCGGCTTTTTGCGGTATTTATATATATTTAATCAGCTGCGTTATTTTTCAAATATGATATAGTCGCTGCAACTGTTTTAATTCTATTGTATTCTTTCGTCCCTATTTTTATTTAATCACCAAACATATATTGTTTATTTTAAACAAAGCTTTGTATGAGTACATTAGATATTAGCAAAAAATAAAAATATTTCAATTTCTTATAAATCATATTTAAACCGCATTTCTTTCTACATATTACTTAAATAAGATAAACGTGTTTGTGTGATACGCAGAATCGTAATTTTCGACTTTATTCCCCTAAACGCTGAACACAGTTGTTCTTCTTGTACGAGTAAACAAACAGTAAGCAGTGCAGCAAATATAATTTGTACGTACTCTAATGAAGTTGAGCACAACATTCAGTTAATGTAATTTGCATATGTTCAACTCAATAATCGTTAGTGTTGCGAGGGTCCTAATAATTAGTTAAAGTTTTCTTCCTTTTTTTTTTGTTTCTTTAACTAAAGTAGTTAAAAAAGAACGCAAAAAATTATTAAATACATATCACAAACCAAGTAATAATGTGTAAGATATTGGTAGTCATACATATATTCAGCAATGCACCAAAATAAAATGTCATGCACTAAAAAACTACTTTGGACGAAATGGAGAAATATAAAGGTCTCCTAGGCAAAAAATATATATATATTTTATTAAATTCACTTACAAGACAATTATGAATTTGAAGCTGAAAATAAAAACTTTACTTTATTTAGAAAAGTAGACAATAAACTAACACAACACAGATATAATAGTTTATAATATGAATTTTAATTTTTTTGTATTTTTTGTTTAATTTTTTCGTTTAATTGATGTTCTTTTCTATAATTTTTTAGTAGAATCACTTCTCTTAGTAAAAAATTTTTCTTTCTCAATCTTTCGAAAGCGCTTGCAAAATGGTTTTTGGTTAAAAAACCGTTAGTTGCCTATTTCTTTTACACCAAAATAAGGCAATAAGAAGAAAAAGCACGTACGGAGAATAGACATAGAGTTGCTCCTAATAAATAAGAAAAAGTGCCAACACATTCGTCCTGAGCTCGGTTAAATGGCAAAGCTAGTAACGCCGATCTATTAAATGACAAAGCTATGTAACGCCAATCTGTTAAATGACAAATCAAACAAAAACTCTGTTAAAATGACAAACTATACAAACAAACAAACAAACAAATCGATTGAACAACAAGCCGTAGCAACACTAAAATAAAGCATATATATATGAATACAAAATATTGCTGCTTTTCTTTCTTTTTTTAACATTATTGAAAATAAAATGATTAATAATATTGACTTTGCGTTTCAATAGATATTCACAAATTGAAATGCGGTCAATTAATTAATTTTTTTGAGTCAAGACTGGCGGTACCCATAAATTAAGTTTTTTTTTTGTAACCAGCTTTTTCCAGTTGGTTGAATACTGTTTAGTGATTGCTGTTGAAGTCTCTGGCAATATCATGACTGCTTACATGCTTACATGACGGTCTTGTTCGACTTTTGCCAATATTGCATTCACTTTTTCCGCGATTGGCCGTCCACTTTGGGAGCGTAAGGTACATATAGCAAATGAAATTTTCTAGATCGACAAAATCTTAGTACTTTTTAGAATTTCAAAACATTAAACATGGGTTGAAAACTTGCCTTGCCTGATGAAAAGCAAAAGGATTGAAAGTAAAACCAGGCACAATTATTTAATGCCTTTGGCTGAAATCTATTTTACTGTATTTGTCATCAATATGAAGCAACTGTTTTTTTTTTTTTCCTTTTTCCATCGTCATGTCCACTTCTAATCGGGGTATAAATAGAGTTGAATTGAGACTAAAGTTTTCAATTAATAATCAAATTTTTTAGTAACTTAAAAATATAACATAAATCGTAACATATGGGTTCACGAAAATTATTACAAAATTATTTATTTAAAAAAAAAAAACAAGTTTTATTTTGGCTTAAGAATTCATTATCTAGATAACTTAATGTAAAATATCATTGATTAATTTTGTGTCAACAATTGCGGATATAGAGTTCAAGTTAATTCGAGTAAATATTTATTATATTATTAAGCATGTTCGGTTCATGCTATCGCACGGGACGAAACGGGTGAGAATGTAAAACATTCGTATAGAAATGAAATAAAAATTGATGATGAAGTGCATTGTCCCTCAATTCGATTCCACGCATAGATTTAAGATTAAAATGAGCTACTGCACATATGTAAATGTTGACATAAGTTTGCCTATAAGCTAGATCGAATTGTCACTCCACAGACCGTACGATGTGGGCAGAAATGATTTGGATTTGAAAGTTACGAGATAAAGCAGAATTACGGAAGACGGATTCAACATTTATAGCTTCATAGCTTCGCGTCTCAATAAAGCTTTGTATAATAAATCTGAAAGATCCCGAAGGCATTTCAGATTAAACAAATGCACAATTTAAACAATCCAAGCAAAAGGCAGAAACAGAAAGATATAAGTTCGGATTACTTACGCATGTCTTGGGCTCTGTTGTCTCCATCCTTAACCATTAATTTAGAAAGATAGACGACCAATTTTAAAGCAATAATGCAATTTGATAAACTATTAAAAAACCAAATCTGGTACAACGTACAAACTTAAGCTTAAAATCACTGGGCAGTTACCGTCAACCGTTTGTTGAATTACTTGCCATTTGGCATGTCATAAGAGCAACTACTACAAACAGTGCAAACATTTTTGTACAATCACTGACACAAAATCTTACATGCCTTACCAGTAATAGATGATAAGGATTCTTACAATCATTTAGGTTTTTGAGATCCTTGAAACGCTACGCGTTTCTTACGTAGAAATTTTTAATTTGTCCTGTATGCCAATACGGCATTAAATCCTCTGGTATAAGTCTTTTTTTTGAAAAGTAGTTTAATCATATCCTTATCACATCACATTGAATGTTTATCTCTTATAATTTTTTTCTCCCCACAAATGAATTCATTCCATTGCCATCTTGAGGGGAACACCTGGAAACTAAATAGTGGAGAGAAATAATTTTAAATCAATTTTCACTCTCGTGTGACACCAAAGAAATTAGTTGCTGCGATCATATGTCGAATCTTTTGACGTGAATGACAGAAAAGATCAAATTCATATGGCTATGGTACGCAATTACTCCCAAAAACGGCTATACCGATATATGAAACAGTATTACTTGATATAACGCATGTGTGTATGTAGTGCTCAAATTAGAAATTCACAACTATTTTATTTTTTTTTTTTTTGGCGATATTAAGTTTTTTCTGGTATTGAGATATATAGCTTATATCTTCTAGTTTGACATAAGATATGAACATGCGACTCATTGTTTTAAGTCAATAGGTAGTGGAAATTTGCAAGTTTCGGCGTATTAGAAACGAGTCTAAAAAATTTAAGAATTAGAAAATACAAGGAAAAAGTTTATTGTGATTATGTTGTAGAAATTTATAATCACAATATTTGAAAATTTTACATAATGTATGTGATATATTTGCTTACTTTATGAAGCAAGTTATTGCCTTGATATGATCACATTGTAAGCATTATTTAAGTTTTTGTACATTTCATATAAATGGTGTGATCTTCTGATGTTCTCAAATTTTCGACAATCAAACTTTAGGGTTACAATGGCCTTTTTGGTGACACTCGTTTCATGTGTCATTCGAAGCAGATTTTGTGATAAGATTCACAACTCCTGAGCCCACACACATTTTCAATCATTATTAGCGCGTGCGATTTCTTTTATTTCTAATAATACGCATCGTTCCTTTGGCGGCACATTTGATTGACATTCTCGCCGTGCATACAGACTCGTGATCGCGGCCTTTCGCAATCATATTTGGAGAGGATTCTTTTGCGTGCTCCATACTTAAAAAATGATGATAGTTTTCCCTTTACATACGGTTTTGACACTCGGCTGCTAATAAGATTACTCTACAATTACCGGACGTTGCCCTCCATACTGAACATACATGTTTATAGAGAAATGTTGATAACAATGATAAGAGAAGACAATTCTTGGGAAGCTGCAATGCTGAAGAAACTTGACGATTTGCTGCCGCAATCTCCAACTCGAGCCAAAACACATGGCATGTTCTGAAGATATGCAGGAAAACGACTCGCCATCGTGGCATAATCCTTGCGAAGCGAAGATGGTAAGTTGTCTTTAGTTTAAAAACGCATTTTTTTAAAAAACTTTTTTTTTCCAGATTTTTATGATGACAGTTAAATTATACAAAAAAAAACATTAAACCTGAATCAATTGGAATCATCACTCCGTACCTGAAACAAGGTAAACATTTGCGAAAACTTTTTGATGATGCCGACGTAGCGGTGCCTAAAATTGGTTCTGTGGAGGAATTCCAAGGACAGATATAACCTTCGCAAAATTACAGTTTGAATTAATACTGATGTTGCTTTCGCCTGGTTTTTTTTAGGAACGCAATATAATATTAATTTCAACAATCAGGTCAAGCAAGGAGCATATACCTAGCGATGTGCGGCATGCATTAGGCTTCATTCAAAACGAGAAACGGATTAACGTGGCGATTATAGTATACGGCAACCCCGACCTACTCCTTTTGGACCGTCGTTGGCGCGCGATCATAAAATACTGCGTCGATAACGATGCCTACCTTGGTCGCGATTTGCCGGAATTGTCTGTAACTTTTATGTAGTATGTATATATATACTTTAATAGTTTAGTTTCTTGATTTGAATTACTTTTAATTATTGAATTAATTTTCAAATTTGAATATGTATTTAGTTTAGTTTCAATTTTTTTTGTATTGTTGTTGTTTTGTTTTTTTGTTGTTAAATGAATGTTTGTTTTTTGTTGTTAAATGAAAATTAAAAATGTTATGTTTTTCGCCTTAATTTTATTTTTTGTATTCTATTGTGTATTAATTTATATAATTTATATTTAAATATAAATGAAATAAATAGCTTTATTTATATAATATCTTTATTCTACATTTAAAATACTTTGTTAGTACATATAAATATAAGAAATATAAGAAATTGTTGTTCTTTTTAATGGTTTTAAAGGTTTCCTGATTGTTTCCGATTGTTTTTCCTTGACTTGCTCGCTTTCGCTCTTCTATCATCACCTCTAGATGTTTAGTTTTTTGGAAAATAAGCAAACTAAACTCATTCAATTTTATAATTATGGGATGAAATCATATCTCGCGCTTTAAAAAACGTTGATTTTCTTAAGAATATGACTGCCGTTAAGCAATTGGCCGCGTGTAAGGTTATTTAATTGGGTCGGATTTATTTCTTTCAATTTCCTGCATTGCCCCAAAAAAATTCCCTTGCAAAAGATGAGAATTATTTATTTGTTATATACATAAGCTATTGGGAGTGAATATACTTACTTACTAAGATTAATTAATAATAATAATTATTAATGACAATTACTACAATTAACAAATAAGAATGTTATGATTGGTCGTGACAGAATCTTTTTTATCCAGTTAATTTAACTTGAGAGTCTTATTACTTCGTGCGCGAGTCAATAACTCCAACAAAAGCAGCCGCGAGCATCGCTGTTAAATGAAAAACAGTAACAAAACAGCCGTTACGTTTTAGACGTCTGCTCACACAACGCCACACAATGTAACAATTTCTAGAAGGATTAGTTCTTTTGGTTGGTGATTTGCTGACTTGCAAAACAAGAAGAGATTTGAAATAATTTGGAAAAAATCAAGACGACAACGGAAACTAAAATATTATCCCATTACATAAGTATTAACTATGTTATGTTCTTCTCATTTAAGGACTTTTTTAAAATGATTTAATCCAACCTCATTTCAATAAAGTTCGCACCCAAAGTCCATCCAAGTCAAAATCAAACATTTTTCTGTTCACAAAGTTCAAATAGTTCATAAGCGGAAAATCAAAATCGCACCAAACAAATCAAGCTATCGTATATGCTTTATTTGATGGTATAGTGAATACGTCAAGAAAGATCTAAAACTCTTGCGTTCCGATCAGTCTGTGTATATTTCAATTTATTTCTGGATGCCCATGCACGGATTTATTTTGCTGCATCTTAACAATTAACAATTTTTCTTAAACTCCCTTATTAAAATTAACATTGATTACGTCAACTAAAAGAATACGACAATTTACAACCTTGGATTTCAATGCACACCATTTATGCAAACTTTAGACTTAAAAGTTTAATTAAATTTATGAGTTTAATTTAAAGATAGATAATGTGCAAATACGAGGTTCTACAGAATTGTTGAAAGAAAAATATATTGTTTTTTTTGCAGTATATATGATATGTTCAAATTTTTCATGGAAAGCCTCACCAAATGTTGTGATTACATATAGATTAGGATATGACAATAGTGCGTTTTTAACTACTGTACTTATTTTTATTTTCGGTCTTCGATATCATCGCCACCTGGCTTTTGAATATAATCTGCATTTGCGGAACATTTTAGAAAAATTTGTTATTTAAACATTTAAATACTTATTGAATATATAAATAAAAAGTGCATCTGCAAGTCACGTAATATATATAAAATTTCGAATAAATTTGAAATGACTGATATGAACAATTTGAAACGTTGCTTGTCGATGCAATTATAATTTGATACCCTTTCTGTTTAGAAAACAGGAGAAAAACAACAACAGTAGAATATATATTTAATGATTAATATCTATTATATATAATAGTATTATAAAAACATTTTTTTTAAAAAGTGGAATGAACAATAAATAGAAAATAATTTCAAATCTTGAGTTTTCTTTATGTGGGTTTTTTTTTTAATTAAATAATTGTTACTTATAATTTCATCTACTTATGGTAGTAAAGATTTTTTCACTTTTCTCCAAAAGTGATTGTGTAAATTTTTATTTTTTTGATTCGTACAGAAAGTAAAGAGTAAATAGCAACTCTTGCACGTATCTATAGTGTATTTTATGTTAATATGTATTTTTGTAAAGCTAAAGGTGTTTGCACTAATTTTATTAATCGATTTTTATACATAACTTCCTCTGCTTCTTCAATTCAGCAAATCAACAAGCATAAATTCGCTGAAATGTGTAAAATATATTCGTAATATCAAGTTCATGAAGTTTCAACGATTGAAAAATATGGTTAACTTCATTCACTAACCTTATTATCACCTAAACAAAATGAATAGTTTGGGAACTCTTTACAATCAGCTGACCGGACTATTTAAAAAAAAAATCGATTTTTTTTTCATTGAATACATTTTGGGTTTACCTTTTTTATTAGAACAATTATTATTAATTTGAGACTAAATTTAAATAAAAGATATATTTCAGGATAAACATTTAATTAAAGTAAAAATGACTTAAAATAATCGAAAAATAAATTAAATTCAGTTAAAAAAAGAAACATAAAAATGTTATAAAACATTAGAAGACTAATAAGAAGTAATAAACATCTTTTTAAAGAAAAGTATGACAGCAAACATCAACTAGTTTTCGAGGAAAACTCTGCTATATAAGCACGAATTTTTCTTTACATATAGGTATTTATATATTCAAAAGTGTGCATGTAACAAAAAATATAAATATTTGACATTTTACTTGGCATAGATCCGCGTTTGTTTGATATGGTAGAATATTTCCCCCGTGGTGGTTATGTTATCGAGGATTTGCTTTGATTAGTCGAATTTTTGTTACTTTTCTTGGTTCAATGCGGGAATTCACAGCTGTGTTTCGCACGTTGTTAAGCCCATTAAGCCCACGCATTTTATTTGCCTTGTTTGATGAGGTAAAGCACGTAAAAACAAAGTACGTCGTAGTTGCTTTTAGTTGTGCAAAATGACTAGTACTCCATCTTCAGAGGGAGGCAGCGAAGAGCTTTTTGATCCCTTGCCAGAAGAGCTACATAACGTCCAGTCCGTGATTCATGTCACTCGAGAGAATATCGATGCATTGAATGCAAAATTTGCTAACCTGCAAGAGCCACCAGCGATGTATATAGCTGAATATCAGGAACTAACTTCAAAATTGCATGAATTGGAAGCTAAAGAGGCCGAACTGCTGGAACAGTTAAGTGCACAACAAGAATTGGAATTGAAGCAACAATTGCATACACAATATCAGCAGCAACTTCTCAGCGGTGACTACAGCTGCCAGTCACATTATCAAAATCAACAACAAGTACAATTGCAACAACAGCAGCAACGAATATATCAGAGATGTTTATACAATAATAATAGTTCTGGAGGAGGAGGAGGAGATATGGTAGGTAGCTTCTTTTGGACATTGAGAAAAATTATTAGTTTATATTCAATCCAATATAGACGGATAGTTTTATATCCAATCATAACAGCAGTCATTGCAATACTCTAACACGCCAGCGAAAAGTTTTACTTAGAGCTCATTTGCCCAATCAGCAAAGAACGTCCGTCGAAGTAATTGCTGGGGTACGATTATGCGATGCTCTAATGAAGGCTCTGAAACTACGACAGCTTACCCCCGAAATGTGCGAAGTTAGCACTACGGAGAATGGACGTTACATTATACCTTGGCATGCAGATATTGCCAGCCTGCAGGTGGACGAGATCTATGTACGATTGTTGGATAAATGCCCTATAATGACTCACATATCGCACCAATTTATACGTAAGACATTTTTTTCTCTGGCCTTTTGTGAGGGATGTCGCCGCTTGCTGTTTACGGGTTTCTATTGCAATCAATGCAATTTTCGGTTCCATCAGCGCTGTTTTGATAAGGTGCCCACATTGTGTCAACAATTCCCGGTCGACAGTTACTATCAGCGTTTACTAGCTCAGAATCCAGAGAATGCTGTCGGCATTTTGTATTCAGGTCGTGGTTGTGCTCCAGATTTTCAGGTTTTTTAATTTAAACTTATCGAAAGACTTATTCAAATTAAGTTGATATTTTTTATAATTTATCGTAGACCCGTCATCCGCGCTCCATAAGTCAACAGGATCGCTCAAATTCAGCTCCGAACGTTTGCATTAATAACATAAAACCTTTGACTGAAGCTCAATGCAAGCTAATCCAGGTTCATGGCCCTTCGCAAATGCAAGCAAATTATTTAAATTCCACTCAGGCTTCGCCCACTGGCACATTGAAACATCTAAAGAAAGAGAATCGAAGCTCGGAAGAAAATTGGGTAGGTGAGAAAATAAAAAAGGCTTTTAGCAACAACAATAAATTTTGTCTGCGTTTAGAATATACAAGCCGAAGAAATCCTAACAGGACCTCGAATTGGTTCTGGGTCATTTGGAACTGTATACAAAGCTCATTGGCATGGTCCAGTGGCTGTAAAAACCCTAAATGTAAAAACACCCAGTCCGGCTCAACTGCAAGCATTCAAAAATGAAGTGGCCATGTTAAAGAAAACCCGCCACTGTAACATATTACTGTTTATGGGTTGCGTTTCTAAACCATCATTAGCTATTGTAACCCAATGGTGCGAGGGCAGTAGTCTTTATAAGCATATCCATGTGAAGGAAACAAAATTTAAACTTAAAACCTTAATCGACATCGGGCGACAAGTGGCCCAAGGTATGGATTATTTGCATGCTAAAAATATTATACACAGGTAAGTTAAACTCTATAAATATTTCTTATTATTCTTCATTTGGATTTATTTTGTTTAATCTTAGGGATTTGAAATCCAATAACATTTTCCTACAAGACGAATATTCAGTAAAGATAGGAGATTTTGGTCTGGCTACTGCGAAAACGCGATGGTCAGGCGAAAAGCAGGCACATCAGCCAACAGGCAGTATCCTATGGATGGCCCCCGAAGTTATACGTATGCAAGAGCAAAATCCATATTCATTTCAATCGGACGTTTACGCTTTTGGTATTGTTCTGTATGAACTGCTGGGCGAATGTTTACCTTATAGTCACATCAATAATAAAGATCAGATTTTGTTTATGGTTGGTGTTGGTCTTCTAAAACCAGATATGTCCAAGGTGCGTTCTGATGCCCCACAGGCTTTAAAGCGGCTCACAGAAGATTGTATTAAATACGATCGCAACGAACGGCCTTTGTTTCGCCTACTACTCAATATGTTGGAATATATATGGCGAACTTTGCCCAAATTGCATCGAAGTGCTAGCGATTCAACATTAATTCAAAGCCAACTGCAACATGATGATTTCCTATACGTATGTCCTAGTCCCAATACCCCGGTGAACCTTAACAATTTTCAATATTACCACAGCGCTGGCAATATCTAGCGATGCTGATCCTTTACTATGCTTGTGATTTCAGAAACTTCATATTATTACAACAGTAAGAGCGACTCAAAAATTTTAAACAAGCAATTGAAGTGCTAACAGTGCAACAAGAGTAAAAGACGCTTTAAAGTTAAAAAGAATAAAATATATTAACAGAAGTTGTTCGCAGGAGAAAGAAAATCTCCATCTGATATTACAGTACTGCACAGGCGTAAGTTAAGCACAAATTTTGCTGAAGATTTAAAACAATAACAGCAACTTTAATCAAAATCAACAAAAGCCTCAATCTTGAATTCATTATTTGTTAACTATGTAGATGATTAACATTTAACAAATTATCATAGGATATGTTTTCTGGTTTATTTTCATTAATTATTACCATTATTTTTTGTGTATTTCCTTTTGTTTTATTGATATTGCGTTTACTAAAAAATGTTTTCAAAATATTATTATTATAAAAATTATCTTAATATTAAAAAACAAGAATGCATTATAAAAAAAGTTACAAACTTAAAAATCGATAATTTTATTCATCGAACTTTTCGATTTGACGTCTTAAATCGACGAATAATGTCTCCTCTCCAATTTAAACAACTGCCTTAACTGCCTTCAGATATGTTCAAAATCGCCAACAGTTATTTTAAAGTCGATAAAGACAAATTCTCCTTCTCCGCAAATCTTCGATATACAGAAGGTTTTCGGCATAAAAGCCGCCAAAGATTTGTTTAATTGCAAGGTTTTGGTCGCAATTATATGTAATATATTTCTGACGAATCCTCGAAAATGCTGTGATCTTGATATCCCTAATTATGAAGCAAGGTTAGGATTAATATTCATATTTGTAATGTCGTTGCCGCGCTGCAACGTGTTGGAAACGCAACCGCAACTATATGACTGAAAATTTTTATAACAAATCGAATTCATACATCGAATGTTGATTATTATTCTAGATCGAGTTACTTTACGTATTCGTTGGCACCGATCCAAATACACCTTTAGTGTTTTAATTTTTCATATTAATATTGGAATAGCAGAGCCGATTATGGGCGCTTAGAGTCTTAGATTCTTGTGGTGTTATTGACACCCCAAATCGCTTTGCTAAATACTTCCGATGAAATTTTTTCAACTGCTGATTCCGCCTGTTAAACTGTTATATCAAATCACTAACTTGATTTAGATTCCGTACTCGGTCAATTCAGAAAATTACGTTTTACATTGTTTGAGCTCTCTAAAATATTGTTGTGCGCCTGCACCCGATCGCATTCCATCATGCACACTCAAGTTATCCTCTGATGAGCTATGTAGTGTTATTTTGACGACTTTTAATCAATTCTTGAAATCAGGTGTTTTCCCATTGTTTCCTGATTCCATTTTAAAGGTTAAAACAGATGTCACATCAAGAATAATAGAGGCACTGCCAAGCTGAGCGTCTTACCAGAATTGTTTGAGCGAATTGTTACTCAGCATTCAGCTTTCGCTCTCGAATCCAATGCATTAGTAATTGATAGAAAAGTAAAAAATTAAAGTCAAATTGACGTTTATTTGTTTTTCTACTATTTTTTTGATTTTCTTCCATTTTTCAAATAGTAATTCATTTTCTAACGGCTGTTTGTATTTTCTTTTGCAGCTGCTTTGTGCGGACGCAACTCTAAAGAAACATTTGAGATAACTTTGTTTGGTTTATACTCAATACCAATCCAAATTTATTCGCAGCAACAGCAATTTGATTGTCTGTTTTGTTGAAAACATTTGGTGGAAGGCTTTCCGCGTATAGATGTATATCTCCTGTACCATTTTCTAATTTCTTTTTCAATAAATCTACTGTCCTAAAACTATTTTTTTAAGTTTGAATTATTTGATGAATTTTTCCTTAAATTTATAATTTTAATAATTTATTGATTATTTTATTAATACTTATTGATGATGAAATTAAATTCTTTTTTTTTTTTTCTTTTTTCTGAAGAAACTTTTATTAATTGTTCTTCAAAGCAAAAGCAATCATTTAATCATTGTTTTATATATACTTTATTTTTATATACATTTATTTAATATAAAATGAATATATAGTTGAAATTGCGTTACGCTACAAAACACATTTCAACTTTTTAAATGCTGTGAATTATTAACGAATATTTTCTATGAGAAACAGATAAATACTTATAATTGCTAGCATTCCACCTCTAAATTTTGTTGTGATTATCCTTCCATCTTACTTTAAGAAAAATGTTTCCATATATTGGCAATAACATATGTTATAATATTGTTGTCTACTGTTTATGGACAACTTATTAATACATTTTGCAAAACTCCTATTTATTCAATGGTGTAAATAGCAAACATATTTACATTTTGAAGAAGAATCGCTCATTATTATAAAAAGGAACGCAATCCAAAAAAACAATTTTTTTCGCATCATAAATATGCGCTTCTCCTTCTTCTAAAATTTAGCAAATCAACAACAGATGGCTTACAGTGCTGAGTGGGAAATTGTATGTAAACAAAAAATTCAGCAAATTGCTTTTAAGGCATGTTGGCTTTTGTTGTAAATCATAACGCACGAAAATATAATGTTCTTGAACGGGGGAAAACTACATTAAACAAATGAACATTATTGCTCAGAACTTTTTTTTTTTGTTCTAAATAAATCAGCTCCGTCACTCGAAATACTCCGACCCAAATCTTACATATCATGTCTTAAACTAAGGTGAAAAATACTCATTTTAACAGTCAGCAATTCGAGAGTTTTAAGAACATCAAGTTTTCTCCTTGTATTAAAATTAATAATTTTTCTTAATGTATATTATTAACACCCCTGTCTTTAGAAACATGCTTCTAGTCATTGACTTTTGTATATCTACACCTACATTGTTTAAGGGTGTTGCCATTATGACAAAAAATTAATGTAATAAATCGGGTTTAGCGACGAGGACAGCAAAAGACACCTAAACTTGTGAATCTTTAAAAGATTTTAGTGTTTTTTTTTTTCGTTAAAAGTGGTAAAAAAACCTCTTCTGGTTTAGTTGTATTGAAATTAAAATCTAACTAGTAGAAAGGTTTAGTGAATAACGTAAAAAATTTGTAAATAAAATTAAGTGCATGTCTCTGCCTGACTAGCTGGCAAAAGCGTTTTTCTGTACATAAGTCTTTTTTTCTGTATGCGTTGTGCATTCAATACTAATGCAAATATGCTATATACATACGCATATATGACAGCGAGGAAGAGATTTTCAAAGATTTTCAAAAGTCATTTGATTTCAATAATTTGTTTAGTTATTTATAAAATCCAAATTTGAGAAGACGAAGTATTTCGCGATTTCATATTTGTACAAATTTATATATATGTATGTATATATAGATGATTGGTAAAAATTGTTCAATTTGAGATTTGATTGACGTGTGCTTATGTGTGTTTGTATATTGCGCTGGTTATTGATTGCAACAATTTACATATTTTTTAGTTTCATTCTTGATAATAAATTATTTAAATATTGCACCCATGTTTGCTAAATATCTGGATTAGCCGGGAAGTAACAAATGCATTAATATTGATAAAAGAGAAACAAATAGAATATTGGTCTGTTAATGGTAACACATTATAAATGCTATAACAATATAAACATTCGAGCAACGTTTCGAACTAAGGGAATGAAATTTTGTTGAAAAATATCAAGGGCATATAAAGAAATAAATCTCTTTCGCTATATTTCTTCATTTGCTTGATTCTGCACTTGCATTTGTCATAAATGTTTCAAACCGGTTGAAAGATGTTTTGTGAAAATTTTTAAATATGCTTACGTTAATTTGCATTAATTTTATCGAATTTTTCCGGTATGTATTTTCTCAAAGTGCGCTTTTACAATTCGATTACACTCGTTCCAAATTTGTAATCCCTTTCAGTTTTGAGTTTTAAAGAGAAAATTGCTTTGTTTTTTGCATTTGACAAGATTTGGTGCGAAAAATTCTTCATCTAAATATTGAGATCGGATGTAGGCAGGATCGCCGTCGTCAATATGAAAACTGGCGATCTTCTACATGATTCTGACCTAAGCTTCAAAGTCTATTAATTAATTAAATAAACTATTGTTTGGACATAAAGGGAAGGGGACTCTTCATGCAAAATTTTTGTAAAGAAACCCTACTCTGCACCATAATGCTTATTTGATTTTGGTTGTGCTATTAATTATAATTTAAAAAATCTATTAGAACATTTAATGCTTTTGTTATTTAGTCCCCCGAATTCATTATATACAAGGAAATTGTAAATGTTCTCTCAATTGCAAAATTACATCTCTCTTGAAAAGTAAATTGAGAGAGTTTTAGACTGCATTTCTCTTCGAACGGAATTTCTCCAATTTTTTTCTTTACAAGTAAGTGCTTGTAAACATAATAGTTTCCTTTCGAATATCATATTGATATGACGTGTGTTCGTTGCGTTTTAAATTCAAAATAGACTGCTGCTCTTGTTTAGCTTAGGGAATAGTAGTTGAGTTAAATGAATCCTCTTCGCATTTCGTAGTTATAACAAAGTTTGTTTCGTTTACAGTCGTATTTTTTGCTGTGCTCTCATATACCAAAGGGATGGAAGATCCTAATCGTATGATGGCTCATACGGGCGGCATGATGGCCCCCCAGGGCTATGGTATGCCTGGCCAAGATGATGCCCAGACAACGGGTAATGAAAATGAGGTGCGAAAGCAAAAGGATATTGGGGAAATATTGCAGCAAATTATGAGCATTTCGGAGCAATCTCTGGATGAGGCGCAAGCCAGGAAACACACACTGAATTGCCATCGCATGAAGCCGGCTCTGTTTACAGTATTGTGTGAGATTAAGGAGAAGACCGGTAAGTCTTTTTTAAACACAATTGTCAAGTTTTCTTCAATACTTAGTTAAAAATAAACCAAACTGCAAATGCTGCGTATACCTGATTGCTTTTGTCGAGCGTTTCAGTGGTTTTGCTCAGTACTATTTAAGCAATATATTAGATTCGTCTTATACGCGTCTTAAGCAATTGTATTAACATAAATTACATATACACATTTATACAATACAATAATAGTTCCATCAAAAAAAAAAAAAAAGCACAAATCGAATCGATCAAATGCTTGAGAATTAAAAGTAATTTCTAACTTTTTGGATAAACTACAAATGAAATGAAGGCTTGAGAAGTTTTCGAAAAGTAATCATCACATCAAACCAATAAAAATGTTTGTAACAGGGTTCCTATCTTTAAAATCATATCGAAAATTCTCCGCGTTGTTTTCCGCGGGATGGTATTGATGCCTATATATCGGGCTACACTTACCTGATTGTCTCAAACGAACATGCGCTTGACAGATGGTATTTCAACTTACATTTTTCGTGAACATGAGTTTCCCAATTTTTTGCTCGTATAAAAAGTTATATTGATTGGAAAACGCGTGAAATATCTAAAGAACTACGCTATGTGGTGCTTCTTTTATTGTAAGAAGGTTAAAAAAAAAATTTGTGAAGTGTACGGTGAGAATGCTGTGAGTGAACGAAGGACTTAGAATTAAAGATAACAATACAAGACGCAATAACTGGAAAAGTCGATGAAATATTTCAACTGGTGGAGCAAGATCGACACGAAAGCTGGCAGGAAATAACGGTGACACTAAACATCAACCAGACAACAGTTTGGAAACATTTGAAAAGAGCAGGCTACAAAGAGAACCTCGAAGCCGCGGAGGATTTAAAAAATGACAATTTTTGCACAAAAGGCAAAGAACATTCTTTGCTTATATACCGAATGACTTATACTTGCTGTGTGTGCATGTGTGCGTGCGTTCCTAAGGCGCCCTGTGCAGTTTACTTCTTGATTTGCTTGAGATGGATTTAAAGCGGGCAATATCATCATACGATAAATTAAAGCGGTTAGTCGATTGGGTTACGAGGTTTTGTCATCCATCTAAATACACTTAGGTTAGAGAAACGCAAAACAATAAATAGAATGAGAGAAGCTGTTTGATTCTTTTATTTATTTACTGTTTTTTGATAAATTTTTCCGAGTTATCATGATAATTACACTCCTACAAGTTGCACTGCCGAGATCTAAAAGGTCGATTTTACTCATTTATGTCTCCAGTTGTCCAGTTTTAGAATTCTTCTTCAAAACCTGTTGTCTAATTCTCCAGGTAGGATGTGATGAATATATATATATATATATATATATATATAAATAAATAAATTAATTTGTCAATTAATACAAAAATGTAAATTATTAAAAAATCTTGAAAATAAATAAATCAATGCATTTTATTAACAATTGATCGTATTATTAGGTGTTTGCAAAAATGTTGGTCATTTTTTCACTTGAAAAAGGCATTTATGGTGAAAAATTGATACAATATATGTTAATCGAAATGATTTCCATAAGTTTCTACAATATTTTACAATTTTTTTGGGCGACCTGGCCGTATCGTGACGAAAGTCCTAGTATTGGTTTGGCAGCGGTCGATTCACCGAACCATTTTCGAACTTCTTCCACTTTGCGAACGATCTGAACAAGTGATAATCAGGAAGAGGCGTCATGCTGGATGTGGCAGAATTTCCCCTTTCGAGTGGCAACAGTGTATTGCGGACAATTCTTGCAACAAGTGACCAAAAAATGGCATTTTCAGTCAATTCGTGTCGCCACTTTTTAACTGTTGAAATCAAAACCGAGAATTGGGATATGATGGACCAAGACTACTACAAGACTCCGAACGCGTTTAAAATTTTCGCAAACACCTAACAGAGACCGCTTCGTGTTTATGTCAATTTTTTCTTTGAAAATTTTGAAGACTGCTTGTCTAAGAAACAATTCGCGTAAAGCCAAAATAAAGATATGATAATGCAATTTTTCGCAAATTATAGTAATGAACGACACAATTCTGACGATGTAAAGCAATTTATTTAGTTTTGCTTTTTATATACGTGTTTTGCCAAAAAACCTGACCAGTCACGTTAAGTCACGTCATAGTGCTACGCATAAATTTATACCTAAATCTTGAAAATAAGTTCAAAAATGTATAATACGCGCGTTCAGTGTTTGGGAAAGAGCATTACTTGGGGCAGAAGTTGGATAACCGCGAAAAGTTTTAACGTAAGTAACGGCAGCATAGATGCAATGATACAACGTTTTATCCAAGCAAGCAACGTCGTGTTAATTTGTTTAAAGACAATTTATAGTCATTGCATTAAAAAGCCGGTTTATAAGCAAAAAGATGATAAGCGTTTTAACAGCGACGTAGCTGTAGGGTAGAGCAACATCTGAAAGCGAGTATTATTCGCAGACGAAGACAAAGCAGAAATGAGAAAACTAAAGATATAAAAATAAATGTTCATAAAGTTTTATAAAATATGGAAATTAATAACGATTAAATGAATAAATTTTCAACGATACGTTACACACATATATTTGTATATACAAACAAAACTTAAATTAACTTGTTTACGTTTTGTTAACTTCGCTTGAATATGCCAAAGTTTCTTCTGTTCTTCTTAACTCACTATAGAATTTGAACGGATATAAAAAATATAGACATAGGCATTTTTGATAAATATGATTCGTGTAATTTAGTTATTATCTGTGCAAATCGCAGTTACGAATAAACGTGAGCTCGAGTTTTCGCTTCATTCGTTTACGTTCAGATTAAATTGAAATCGAAGACATATTAAAACGTTATAGTCGAGAAAAATAACTAACTTTTGTATACCCTACACTACTTTGCTCATAAAATAGATCAAAAATTACATCTTGCTACTCTAGTGTGTGCGAAGTCTTGTGATGAGAATTTTTGTTGAGAATATGGAGGAGCAAGAATGCGATCAATATGATGCTCGAATATTTTCACACTAAATTTATATATCACATCATTATTCTATGAATTTGTTTTTAATTATAAAATACTACAAAGTAGGAATTTATCGTCATATAAAGGCATATATCTTGTAAGAAAGTGGATATGTGAGGAGTATTGAGAAATATGGGGGGATTAAATTTTCAATACACATTTACTACATTTCGTCGATCTTTCTCATTTTTAAGCAGTAGTGGGGCTCGGTGATAGTTCTTTTGACTCGAGTAATATCAATCTGTTTTTTCTTTCCAAGAGTCTATGCGTTTGTCACAGATGAAATTCGTAATCACTTTTTCCAAAAGTCTTAGCGCATCGAGCATGTGATTTGTGTGCTGTAAGTGAATAAAGCATTCACTAGGGCGCTGCAGATGACACGTGTTATTAACCGTTAACATCCGCCTGAGTGGCCGAGTAGGCAAGAGTCTCGACTAGCAACTCAATGGTCGTGGGTGCGAATCTCAAGTGCGGTAGAGTTTTTTAATAAAAGCCGAAAGAAAGCCTTACATGCTAGTGCTGTAAGACCTAGTCTTAGAATTCATTCTCTGGCTACATTTATAACAATAATAATAATAACCGTTCAAAATTTGATCCTGATTGTTTTTTGTACGATGCCATGTTGTTCGTTTGTTTGTCATGTAAATTGAGTTTTTTTCCTTCGAGATTAGAATTTCACATTAGTCATAGAGAGCCAAAAACAAAACTGGAAGCAAATGCATCCCGTTAGTTGCTCTTCGTTTTAGCTTTCATATCTCCAAAGTAAACAATATACTTTTTTGTCGAATAATTCGCTATTTTCAATAAACACAAAATCGCCCAAGATATACACAAAGCGAGAACACTCTTGTTTTTCAAAAGAAATGAAAAATTGTTCTTTCCCCATTACTCATGAATTTACAAAAGTTTGAACGTATATTCTATAGGCGATGCTGTAGAACCTGTACAAAAATGGGAAATATTTACCACGCCTGCCCAATATTACAGTGTGTCAAAATTTAACTCATAGAGTATACAAATGCACCTAAGAATGTCGGTCTGTGCAACTGTAAAGCATCTGGGGTAAATATTGTTCTGCTTGCGAAAGATTTTGGAAATGAGCAGAACTTTTCAAGCGAGACGCACACGCGACAAAAAAAGCAAAGAACGCCTTTGCTTTCCGAGGTTTTTGCTCGTTACTGATAAACTGCAACAAGAACATGATATAAATCTCCACTTTTACTCTGAAGAGAGAGAAAATCAGTCGTGCCTATCCAATATTATAGAATACGAGAATTTACTTCTCCTTTTATTTTTACCCTTTTTTGGGATGACGGTGGTGGGTGTAAAGGATTCGATCGGGACCGAATATAGTTTTCTTACTTGTTTTTTTTGGTTTTCCAGAATATTTGAAGTCTGTTATTTCAACTTGTTAGTGTACTACATACATTTTAATTTCTTCTCCAATTATTTTTAACGTCCACGGAGAGCATTTCTAGCAAGTTATTATGAGTGTGTGTACGATGGTTTTAAAAGTAGCGCATCTTAAGTAATGCATGCATGCATTTTGTGTTTTCCTTTAATTGAAAACTATTGGAATATTTGCGCCTTTTACCAGCACCGACGGCAGCTACCTCCCGCACACGGTCCATTAATTCCTCGTTTGCATCTTTATTGACATCGTGTTGTGTTTTATACATGCATGGTGTCTCAGCGCGTTCGCGCTACACAATTGTGCATAGCATCGAGGGCAGTAGAGAAGGTCTCTTTGATGCTCCGCACAATTTTCCGCTGTCAGGAGGATTGGCTCGCAAATTATACACTAGACAACCTGAATAAATTGACTTTGCCGCGAGGCCATTTTTTTAAATAATTGAAATATATATATATACGTATACATATATGCGTATACATATACCTATGGATACATATATATGTTTATTTATTTATATATGGTATTGATTATTGAAAATTATTTTTTGTCATTATATATATTATTCGAATTTTTTGTGAGAACTGTCTTCGCTGCTCGACAGCGGCAAAGTGTTTTTTTTTTCTTGCTTTCCGAACAGAGAATTAAATGAAGAACAAACGAAATTTTTGTACTTGACAGAATCTCCTTTTTATCTCTTAATTTGGAATTTAATATTTCTTCGCTTCTTATCTAAAGGCTTCATTGATACTTTCCGATGCATTTGCGATATTCTTTTGATCATTTTTAAAAACATTTTACTGTCTGTTGCCTGGCATTGTTTTCAAATTAAATCCACATGAAAGGATTCTTATGAGAGGCTAGCCTTTATGGTAGGCGTAGGAGAAGAAGGTCTAACTTTGGGTATTTCCTTACGAAATTAGCTGAACAATAATGCCCTTTTTTGGCAAAAAAATGAACTTTGTTAATTAATCTCTTTGATTTATCTAGACGGTTCGCGTCCTGTTTTACAAAACGGTCCTAATGAGAAGTAGACTTTTACATGATATGAATGGTGTTTTATGAAACAGCCAGCTGAAGAATGGTATTTAGCGTAGAGCTATAAAGCATTTATTGATCAAATTCCAAAGTCACCTTTATCTACTACAGGTACTAAGGCGGTATATGTAAATACCACAGTAAATTTTCCCAGTTACATATGATTTTGTACCATTTTGAGTGAAAGCACGGGACAGTCTATGAACGGATCTTTTCGGCAGTCTGCACTAAAATACAACGTGCGTTGCTGACTCACTGCGTGAACGCGTGTAGTTTCAACTAAGTGAAAAATGTTAAAAAGATTTTCCCCATTTACTTCTCTTTGGCATCCTAATGTTGCTACAATAGCAACAATAACACGACGTAATAAAAATTGATTTATTTTACTTATTGTGTGAAATAACGTTTCATGGTCAGTTTATAATGGCTTTCGTTTGCGGCGTCTTATACGTGTATCTTTAGGGTACACATTCTCAGCGGCGATAAAAAATTTGAGCAAGCGTTGGTATTGAAACCTAAGCGAAATAATAATAAAATGCTCATGTATTCGCTTTTGTGTGGGGTTTGTTGAGCCTTCCAAAGAACCCCTTATTGAATGTTGAATAAATGTCGCGTTAGGGCAACCCGAAAAGTAACATTTGTCACATTAACTGCACCCATACGTAAACGGTCTCGGCTGTTGCCAGTGCTGCTTCTTCTATTTTTTTTTTTTAATTTTTTTTTTATTGCAATTTCTCTTGCTTCAATAGCGCAGATGAATTTTATATTCTCTTGTTCGTCATTCTGTACATTATTCGAAAGCAAGCGCTATACGTTACATTCAGATGCAGATAGATGCATAGGTGTAGGATAAATTTTCAAAGTTCAAGTATTTAGATTTGATTTCAAGGCGAAACCCATTTTGTAAATATGTCATTCATTCGAGTCAATCGACGTGAAAATGTGCTAAAGAAAAATTGCTCTTATTACATGGACACGTTAATGTAATGTAACTGTAAAGTTAAAGGATTCTTAGCGTGAGTGTAAGTGCAATAAGCCAGCAAAAATATCAAATCGTTATACGTTGTAGGTCTTAAGTTATTGATCGAAATGTACAATAATTTATTTTTTTTCTTAAATATTTCAATGTTACAATTTTTCAGCAATTGTGGACGCATGATGCCCATTGTCAATTGTTATTTGTGGAATTCAACAGCTTATAGGAATGTGTATGAATGTGTGTACGTACATGATGGACCCTTCGCTGCATATATATTCAAAGCAGCAGAACACATTTAGTTGAAGTATGATTTTCAGGGGTGTTAACGTTTTCATCAACAGAGAATACATGCACAGCCATGGCTGGTTACATTTATTAAGCCCGTCCGGAAAGTAAGTTTCCGATCTTTCTACACCTATTATGTGAAGGATAACAATGTACGTTAGTTGTATTACTTCCAAGTCGCATAAATAGAAATATCTGTAAGGTGGGAAAAAATATTGGAAACAAAACCACGGACCGAAGGAGATCATAGATAGAACAGGATATGCTATAGAGTGGGCCAGGGCGTAAGATGAGCCCGTCCGGACAGTAAGCCTCGTCTGTCCGTTTGACGTGCGTTAAAGGTGTATTTCTTTAGTGTAATCGTCTGTGGAGTTTCCCGGAGGATTAGGAGGATTGAATGTCCCTCCCCCTTGATTTTTTCTGAGTTATATAATTTTGCCGTGTTACACAGAACATAGCGTTACAAATACGGACAAATTTTATTTAATTATATTACATAAAGGGGGCGCTCAACGTGTGGCCAAAAGAGGGCAAAAGATTCGATATTGGCTCGGCAGATAACTATTTTACAGAAAAGCGTACTTTCCGAATTCCTTGAGTACAGCAATTCTTATTTTATCTCTGAAACGATCTAAACTTTCAAAATCATCTTGAAATTTGTGAAATTGTAACAAATACATTTAATTTGGAAGAGGTTTAAAATTCTTGTAATTGTTGCCGACCATCATCGCCCCCCGTCCCTCCATCCTAGTCGGTCGCGCACCATATATTTCTCCTTTCTTCTAACTTATAACTTCAATTGTAAGAATAATATTATTATTATTATTATTAATTTCGCTAGAGAATTAAATTCTAAGACTAAACTCTTAAAAGCACTAGCATCTAAGGCTATTGACCTTGTAAGAATAATAATTTCGATCGGTTTAATTATCGAAGTCTTTCGCAATTAGAAATGTGTAGCGTACTCAAGATCCGTCATAGATATAAAGCAAACGTAAACTTCTTTTTTGTGTTTTTTTGGTTTTTTTTTTTTTTTTTTTTTTTTAAATCAGATAAACAAATATGTTTATAAAAAGCGTTTGCTGATGTTTTTATAAAAATTTCATAGGTTGCCGACTTTCCTTGCTTCTTTTACTAATCTAAATTGAATATATGTTTGCGCGGCATTAAGCAGAAACGTATGCTCTTCTGTTGAACAATATTATATCCATCCCTTCACTCACTCTATCTATGTATGTACGAAAAACATCAGAATGGTAAAAGATATTGCAAAACTTTGCCTTTAAAGTCAAACTTTGCTCATCTAGAGTATACAGTATACAATTATGTATATGTAGATGTATGTATATATATTCACTTTTTGTTTAGGAATACATAAGTAAATATTGTGATTCAGTTTTTCCTCGTTTTCGTTTAAAAGTCCTCAGGCTGAAATGAAGAGGGAAAATTAAACAAATAAATGCATTAAAGTAGTTTTTAAGAAATCTGAACAATCCCTAGAGCATTTGTTAGGAATTTTCTTTTCTTTTCTCTGCTTTCCTTTTTTTTTTTTTTTTTTTTTTTTTTTTTTTTTTTTGCAATTAATTACGCGAATTCTTTATGCAATGTTTGAGCACATTTTGATTAAATTTAACGTGATTTTCTACTTTCAACTTAAGGAACTTGAACGCTTTGAATTGTGAGAGGGGAGGGGAATTTTTAAAACTCTGTATTCACATCTTAGCCGCAACGAGCCAAGCGAATTAAAACGAATGGATCTTCATGGTAGGGGCAAATTTTGTCTACGATATTCGATTGCAAGATAAACGCAAAATACGATTTACGATTTGCGATTTCCGATTTACAATTATACAATTGAAAGGGTTGATTTCGATTTCAACGGAACTCGTATTATAGATTTAGTGATAGCTGTATATAATAGCTATGTTTATGTAATTGATCAAAATTATTGCAAAATATTAAAGAATCAAAGAAAATTTCATTAAATGATACTTTTGCAATGTCCTTAAACTGCTTATATACTCTCTCATAGAAGGAGGTTTGAATCTTTCATGAAGCGAATCTTTTATGATAAAGTTTATGTGACTTGTGTTGTTATTGTTAACACATGCTTATAACGACATGCTTTAATTCAATCATGCGAACGCTACGTTAAGTTGATATGAGCAATCTCCGTCTGCTCGATTTCAAATCATTTAGCCATGTCTGTCCGCTTAATTGTTTAACATATGCTCATCTGTTCTTTTGATCAAGTTACCGTAATTTTCGCTCAAGGACGAACACACCAGTTCCCATATGAAATCAATATTTCGAAAGTGTTGTTTTATATGGGAAAAAAATTTGCGATTTTTAACGTTTCTCGACAAAAGTTACTGGAAAATATTTTTTTTTTTGGCGTATTAAATAGATGAACAAAATTTGTATGGTCTAATGCGACCATTTCGTTGGTCGCCACACTTCCACACGAAGATTATTATAAAGAATAATTAAAATGTAATTGTTTTGTATTTTATGGTGACAATCGATTCAAAACAGCCCGTTTCACGTATTGATTTGGTGAATTAAGCCCGCATTATGATCGCATCGTTTTCCATTCGAAATCCTTTTCCACTCTCCAGAGTTCTGATTTTTGATATCTTATCGCGAAAATAAGTGAATTATAGTCAAGCGAACACTAGGTTCGCGCATAGCGCGTTTGTTGATCGTGCTTACCCGAGACAGACACGTAACTCATTTTATTTTATATCATTGTAAAATGTTTTTACTCTACAAAAAATTTTTATGGATGTTTGATGATGAATTTTGGGCAACTTGCTACTGAAAGGAAGTAAGATAAGGAAAGAAGCACTGATCATTTAAGTGTTCCTCTCTCTCTTCACTTCAAGTTATGAGCTAGCTCGGACACTCGGAAAGTGAAGTGTTTCTATCAACTACTAGTGCAAATACTCTAGCGTATATTTGTTGTTGTCGACGCTGGTCTTGCGTGCACATATTCTTAGTAAATGATATGAGAGAATTTGTTATGAAATAATTCTGACACATAGATGATAGATACGTATCATATTTGAAAAACTAGCAGTGCCGTTCCATTTTTTCTTTTGTTTTCTTTTGTCGTCTTTTAACTTTTTTCTTGTTTAATTATTCATAAAGTTTTTAGATGAAACACATTTACCTTTCATCTTTGCTGTAACTTTAATTTACAGTTCTTTCCATTCGGAATACGCAAGAAGAGGAGCCACCAGATCCGCAGTTAATGCGTTTGGATAATATGCTAATTGCTGAGGGTGTTGCCGGACCCGAAAAGGGGGGAGGGGGCGCTGCTGCAGCTTCTGCAGCCGCAGCCAGTCAAGGTAGTTATATTTATTAGACAATTGTCAGAGAGTATTGTGTATATTTTTCCAACTTATTTAAAGTAGGATCTTCATTATCTATTGACGGCGCAGACAATGCCATTGAGCATTCAGACTATCGTGCAAAGCTAGCCCAAATACGACAAATCTATCATCAAGAATTGGAGAAATATGAACAGGCGTGCAATGAATTCACTACGCATGTAATGAATCTTTTACGTGAACAAAGCCGTACCAGGTGAGAATGGAAAAGTGAATATTTAAAATTTGGTATTATATTTTAATACATACATAATAATGATGTTAGGCCCATCACACCCAAAGAGATTGAGCGGATGGTACAAATTATACACAAAAAATTTAGTTCCATTCAAATGCAATTGAAGCAGTCAACTTGTGAGGCCGTTATGATTTTACGTTCTCGGTTCCTAGATGCACGTCGCAAACGTCGCAACTTTAGCAAACAAGCTTCAGAAATTTTAAATGAATATTTCTACAGTCATTTGAGTAATCCATATCCCTCCGAAGAGGCCAAAGAAGAATTGGCTCGTAAATGCGGTATAACGGCAAGTTAAACATTTTCTTTCGCCCTTCTACACTTATCATAATTTGAGATAATTGAATAATATTTGGTGGAAGAGGAAGAGAAGGGTGAACGGTATATTTCAGAATATTGTGTATTAATGATCGCTTTTTTTTTTTGTTCTCATATAAAAGGTCTCCCAAGTCTCAAATTGGTTTGGCAATAAACGTATACGCTACAAGAAAAATATTGGTAAGGCTCAAGAGGAAGCCAATTTGTATGCAGCTAAAAAGGCTGCCGGTGCTTCGCCCTATTCGATGGCAGGACCTCCAAGTGGTACTACCACGCCTATGATGTCGCCTGCACCCCCGCAAGATTCAATGGGCTATTCCATGGGTTCGGGGTACGAGCAGCAGCCTTATGATAACAGTATGGGCGGCTATGATCCTTCTTTACATCAGGATCTTAGTCCTTGAAAACATTTATTTGATAAATTTTAAATGAGCTTTAGCTCTTTTCCAAACTATGATGTTTTTCTTATTATTAATAAATTCATTTTAACCACGAGTTTTTTATACCTCTTTTGGTTTATTCATTTCATTGTATTGTCTTTATCTTTATTTTATTTTATTTTATTTTATTTTATTTTATTTTAATCATTCTCACCTAATTCTCTTTCTAATTCTAAATTTTCAAATTTTGCCCCTCTTTGTTTTTTTCGTTCACCGGGATTTCATGTACGCATCTAGTATTTAATTATATTTTTATTCGTTTTGTAAAATTGCATGTACGTACAAAATATTTAAAAGGAATACTGAAAGCTGAAAACTGATTTCCGCAATTTGAATAATCAGGCTCATCCGTATACTTGAATAAAATTAATGTGACCCGATGTATACTAAAATTTAAAGTAAAATACAATTTACGCGTAACGAAAATGAAAAACAAATATTTAGCGAGCGTGAAAGTAAAAAGTTTGAGAAAAAAACAAATAAAACATTGCAATGCAAAATGAAATCACGTATACGAAAAAATTTAAATCTGATTTCAAAAAACAAAACATAAAAAAAAAAAACAAAAAAAAAAAAAAAAAAAATACAAAAAATTTTAATTTTAAACAGTATAAATATTTTCAAAAAAAAAAAAAAAAGTCTATAACGTACTAATGAAAATAACGTAACAAAAGAATGTAATGCATTTCTAAGGCAAAAAAAACTTATTTGGAAATCTATGTATACCAGAGTCGATCGCATAGGTAATAAGCAGCATCTTTACATCCCGGCAATGTATACGCAAATCTACACAATATATTTACGTATGCTCTTATAAATGATAAGAAACACACAAATACATAAATACATAAATATTTGCATATATTTATAATATGATAACTACTTTACCAACATTGATAATTGAGATGCAATATTTTTTTTTAATTTTAATTAAACTTAACGAGAAAATCTAAAGCAATTCTGGATTTTGGGTATGATCGCAAACGAAAGAAGAAAATATAATACATCCTATCTAAACCCCCCAAAACGCATAAAATATATAATATAATTAATATTAAAATTTACGACGTGTATTTTATTTGTTTTAAATTTAAGCTATAATATTTGATAAAACATTTTTCTTTTTAATTTCCCTTCTATTTAGTTTTGCAAAGGCATGCAGACAAGAAGAAATCTCTGAAAACTATGAAAATTATGTATACGATATGAAATATAAAACACGAAAACCAATTAAATTTATGTGTTAAACAACCGCAACAGATTGTACGGCAATTTCCGATAAAATCACAACTTAATTATTAAGTTAATTAAAAAAAAAAGAACTTGAAAAAAAAGCAAAAAAAAAAAAAAAAAAAAAAAAAAAAAAAAAAAACAAAAAAAAAAAAAAAAAAAAAAAACCGTTCCGTTTTATTGGGATGCGAAGTGATATTAAAGATGGACGAATTTTAGTTACGGCAAAATCCTCAAAATAAAATACTGTGCACAAGCAAACGAGAAGGAGGATAATAGCTACCCCATGATATAAAACAAAACTACGAGAGTAACATGAAAAAAGTTCTCAATTCCGCACAGTGGGACTAGCAGCGTTTTCGTTTAAGTATGATCCATTCGGTGCACTTGGAGAGATTGTTGGATTATTTCTCTTAGGCTTTTGAAGGTCCAGATGTGATTCCAGTTGCTATGTCTATATGCGCAAGCAGATGAAAAACGATTATAGTCAGGCAAGGTAAAGCCATTAAATATCCTACGTCTATTTTTCTTCTGATACAACTATTTATCAGATTTCGTGATATCGCAATAACCATAAGTCTCAAGTTCCGATGTTAATCGTAATAGCTTTCCTGCGATGCTCTCGTTCTTAACTCTCTCCCTCGCTTATAGCGATCGATTCCGCTGATTTCTATCGGGAACGTATTTGTGAGGCAACATTAAGTCCATCAATCATATATTCCGGGCATCTCGATCAAATAAACTCTGATGAAGATGTGATTTACTTTTGAAAATTTCCTCCAAATTTTGTTTTTTTTTTTACTATTAAAACAAGTAAGAAATTAATTAAAAAAAAAAAAAAAACTTATTAATCGAGCAATGGTTAAATTTAAAACTAATTAACTAAGACTGATTTGACAGAAGGAGGTGAAATTTCCCATGCGTCCACGCGAAGAATGTGAGATGGACTTGATTATATAGATCCTAGTCAAATGAATGAAATCATGTTAAAAGTAATTATAAATTGCCTTTGTAGACAACGGATATATTTATTAACGCTTTAAAAAATATATATATTTATGGAAAGGAACAGGCAGGTGGCGCTAGGATCATTAAGAGGGAGTATCGTGAGGGTATGTGCACAAGTTTTCCAATTTTTTTTTTTTAAATTAATGTATAATATTACACAAAATAGTTATTCGAATGGCTTAAAGATTGTAAAGATGCCAAATATCGAAGAGCAATAAATCAGAAATCCTCTAGCAATGGTGTTAAGTGGAATGAGACTTGTCTACGGACTTGCGACATTGTGGATGATGGCATCTTGCGTCACTCCCCTTTAAGAATTCGTTCGCATTCTTTACCAGCGAAGACAGCGAGCTTCTCAAGTTGGCCGGTCCACAAAGTACTTCAGCGATTTGCGTGGTCGTTTGCGGCTTTATTCCCGCTTTCATTTTCCATGACGTCTGACGTGGGGCGGTATTTATGATATGAGTGCAAGTTTATTTATCCATTATATATCGGTGCTTTTGCCAATTTGAATAATATAAATAATTGCTAATTAAACTGGAACAAGCTTTACGGCAAGGCTTATAGATGTAGTGTTTAATGTAGTGTTTCTGCAATTTTTGATCAATTTCATTTATACGAAAATACGTTTAAATACCTATATTCGAATCTTTTCTACCCTACACCACTTGAGGGAACAAGGTATATTCAATTAGTTTGGACGTATGTAACACGAAAAAGGTTTTAAGATAGACCCACCTTTCATTATACCGATCAATTCAGGATCATCATCTGAATTTATGTAAGCCTGTCCGTTCTTTCTGACGTCTGCCCATGTAAATTTGTGTTCAAGCTTTAAAGTCGCAATATTCAATCTATTTTCATGAAATTTGGCACATTTACGTATTTTAGCCTAAGGGCAAAAGCTATTAAAAATGATTCGAATCGGTCCACTTTTTTGACCTTTTCAATTGCAATTTCCCGGCTAAGCAATAGAATTTCGGCATTCTAAATTGGTATACAAATTTTGGAAGTTCATACGACAAAAAGATATAGTATTCAATGCGTCATGAAGAATGGTACCTCAACATGAAACAAATGACTGTACCAAATTTGGCCCATTTTGGCCTATTTTTTGAATTCTGCACTAATAGGGATTTTCACGAGAGTTGATCCTTTGTCGAGCAGAAAATTCGAAGTTTTTATAAGTGATGTTGAGAATTGACCCATAATAGTAATTTTATACAAAACTGAATTCTACAAAATTTCGACCATCTGCGCCTATTTTGGATCTTGGCGTATGTAAGGATTAAACTTGTACTACATAAGGTTGCGTTTTGGGTCCGCTTTTCCATAAATACGCACATGAAAAACACACCTTTATATAGAAACAAGATATAATTTTTGTGTTCTATAATAAAAATAAGAATTGTGTTAGATAAAGTGGTGTAGAGTGTTTAGCAGTTTATGATGTTTTTACTCGTTTCTATTTGGTTTAGTTTATATAGTTTTAAATTAGTTCAAATTGGTCCAGTTTGAATGACTTTTCTTGCCGAATTGACGTAGTCGCAGAAGTTAAGATACGAAGATAGGAAATTTGTCACGCACATCTATTACTCGAAGGCAGACGAACACGCCCTTGCAATAAAAACAACTAAACCAATATCGAGAAAATAAACCGAGATTGCCTTCTTCTTTCCGTTCGGATATATTTCCGAGATAACCAGATATTCATTACGAAATTATGTAAGGTCGTTCCAAGCATGACTAACGTGATCCCTTCTTGTAGCACATATTAATTGGCTTCTGTGCTAATTATAAGGTTTTGGCTTTTAGAGACGAAATGAATTTTTCGCAAGTTTTTCGATTCGCTGTAATTCACACATATATACAGCTGCAGAAAGGTGGTTTTCGAAAACCGTCTACAGCTCAGTATTATTAGTAATATCTCAGACGCAAGTTCGGCATAAAGGCAGTGTAATTTTTGCGTGCACGCAGTAGGCATTAAAACTGATTAAGTTATATTTTACCGTGGAAAAGTAAGTTCGCCAATTCCCATCACAACATTCATATGCATCCGTTTCTCTTCCTCCCGACTAAAGTTTGCTAAAAGTTTTTTTTTTTTGCGCATTTATTGTTTATACAAGAAACAGAACTTTTTTTTGTTTTTTTTTTTTTTTGTTTAAAACTCAAACATTTTAAGAATGCTTTGTATTGTGATGATCATCCCGTGCTTTCACGATTGTTAATTCAGTGTTTGTGTTTTAAGTCTTTTGTTTATCAATTATGTTACGGGCGTTGCGGGTAACGGGTATATAGAAAGAGAAAAAAAAAAGAGAAAACGAAACTTATAAAGCAAATCAAAAGATCAATAGTTGAACAGAATAGTGTATGAGTGAGTGAGAGAGGTAAGATAATAACTGAGATGAAGTAAGTGAAACAAACGTCTCTCTAATAGTGGTAAGCAATTTTTTAAATAAAATTTTTATTAATATGTACGTTTGCAATATTAATATGCATATGTAATTTTTTTCAATGAGAAAGTTAAGACCTTAACTTAATCACAAAAACCTCTGCCAAGGGAAAGCTTAAAACAATGTTGAGTTAAAAGTCTACGATCACGTATTGCATAGCAAGTAAAAAAGAAAAAGAAGTGACTAAGAAAAGTCATTCACTACGCAGTGAATTTTGAACACCCCTCATCAATGGAACAAATCCTTAAAAATTGCAACAATTTTTCGCTGCCCATATTTTGCATTGAGCCGCTGCTTAAACCTAGTAAATGCTATTGAATTACCCAACAATTTTTCGAATGTTATCGGGGGAATTCAACAATGAATATATGAAAAATTTCAAATTTTTCACCACTTCTTTTCAGCATTTTAAATAAGCCGAGGGAAGAATGTGCACGTGGACCTAGACTCGCACATGGACATGACGAAAGGACTAAAGGCATATCAATAAATCCGAACTGAGAGTGCCGTGGACATTATTTTACGTGATGTGACATTTGAAATTTTTATATTAATTCTGTCGTAGTGAGTATACACAGAGTCATAGACATGTACACAAATGCATATATATATATACATATATATATATATATATGTATATGTATGTATACACTTGTGTGTTAATGCTAGAGCTTGGATCACGTTGCAAATCGTACAAACTGTTTAACATTAAAATGGCTATAGAATGAGTTGAGAGTTAGTTGCCTGCTGACTGTTGAACATTTTAGTTTAGTGTTTGCGTAAAAGTATACAGCAACGCGTTAAATATTCGAGAGTAAAAAACTCTGCTATTTTTCTGTTTCATTTCTGAAATACTTTACATACAGAATAATTTTTGTTGTTTTTCCGTAAATATAACAAAAAAGGAAAAAAAAGAAAAAGCAACGAGAAAACAAAGAAGTTCACGTATTAGCCAACTGGATAAATTTAGAACGAAAAAGGTGTGTTTGCATGTGTTTATTGAAAACCGAAAATGTAATAAGAGAAAGAAAATTGTATTATATGAATAAATTCAGTGTTACCTGTTCCCGTTAATAACATTTGAAGAACTTTACAAAGAGAAATATTTGTCGTTTGACGTGGGCCGGGAGAAAATATTTTTCTAAATTGATTCATTCATTCCCGTTTCGTAAGGAGTCATGTAGACATTTAGTGCAAGAAGAAGGGAGAAGCGTACTTGCGTGGCATTTCATAACGCGCATTAAGAAAAAAAAAAATGAAAATAAATAAATAAACGGAAATAATTATATAATTTTTTTTTTGTTTTTTTTTTGTTTTTCTTTTTAGTGTATTCACTTTTGTTTTATTAATGATAGATATGAAAGAATAATACGAGTGATATGACTTGAAATGATTTTTAAGTAGATTTATTATTTAAGAATTTATCGATCGGTTGCAGCGTCGCGTAATCGATTAATGAATTTTAAAAGGAATTTTTCAAATGAAACGAATGACAAGCCATAGTTAATACGAACCATAAATAAGGTGGCTAACGATTGCATGTATGCATGCAACAGCAGCAGCAGCTACAGCAGCTGCAGCACCGGCAGAAGCCATCTTTTGCAATTTCATTCTCTTGGTATTTTCGTAATTATTATTATTATCATTATTGTTGTTGTTGTTCTTATTAAGATGTTTTAGAAGGTGGGGCGATGGTGGTATCGCTCTTAATGTTATCGTTGGAGAGAAAAAGACTGCACTGACGACTACTAAACTGCTTCATGTATAGACTAGCTTGGCATGTTTCCTTCATTTCATGCATTTAACAAATAGTTTTTATCTACTGATGATGACGAGTGCTTACAAATATTCTTATGTATATAGGAAACTGGTCGTTATTTGAAAAAAGATTCATTTTTATTCTCGCTCTTTTTAAAATATTTAAAGTTTTTTGATTGAATTTTATTCTTACTGTTATCATAGCTAGTATAATAATCATCGTCATCATTATCGTTGTTGTTATTATAACAATCTATATTCGTTTATTATTATGATTTATTTTTTACATTTTTATTTTAATAATAATAATAATAATAATAATAATAATAATAATGATAATGATAATGATAATAGACAATCATATCGGGACAGTTGTGAATTTCTGAAAATTTCATCTTTCCTACGCGCGTATTGCCTTCAACTACAAACTAACTAACTTAGTATTTGCAAAAATGCTGCAGCCAAACCTTAAGTGTGATATTGAAAAAGAATTTGCAAAACATCAGCTCATGTTTTTTCCCTTCTATTTATTTAAGTGTTTATTTTTTACATGATTGTGAGTATATTTGAATAATACGTGTATTTGAGTGTATTTAAATAATACGAAAAGTTTCTCTTCTAAAATATGCCGTGATCGTGATCGAATCATTTCTTTTATAAAATTTTTATTCTCCTCTATTATATAGGAGAAGTGTTCAATATATTTAATTAGATATGTTTTTTGAAATTGCATTTTCGCAAAGTGCCTGTTAAGCAATTTTATATAAATAGAGTCGTCTTTTATTTAGTTATTTTTGCGTTACTTTGTGTTACTTTATGTTACACCAAACGTTGGAGTTTCAATTTGATAATTCATTCGTAAGCATGTGTATGTACACTAGTTTTACAGCATATTGCAAATGAATTCTTTTTTGTACCTTAAGCGGAACAAAAGTTGGAAAAATATAACTAAGAAGGCAACGTTCGAGTCAGTAACATACATATGTAGATAGACTTACGCATAATAAATGGTAAAAAAAAAATAAAAAAAAATACAGTTAAATATGCAGAGTTGGAAATATGAAGAAATACAAAAAAGAAAATTTATAGTAAAATTGTATAAGAGAACTGGTTCCGGCAGATAATAATAAAAAGTAAACCGTGAATGCACATACATAAAAATATACACAAGCACACATACATAAATACACACACACACACACATACATGTATACAACTATGTATTATAACAACAACAGAATAATCAATCAGTCAATCAATCAATCAGTGGCTTGGAAAAGCATACATACACCCCAATAACAGTTGACACATCCATAGAAAACTTGTCTTATAATATGTACATAAAGACACATTTAGTTATTTGGTGGACGGACAGGAAACCTCAAAAGAAAATTACAACAACAACAAAAAAAAACAAAATTCATTCGAAGTTTGCTGCTTAAGTCTTTAGTTTTTTTTTTCGTTTTTTTTTTTGTGTTTTCCTCGCTACTTTTGAATTCTTTTGTTAATTGCCTGTGAAAATGTTTTATATATATATTTTTTTTTTTTGCTTTATCATTTTGATTATTCTCAAAATTAAAAATACCATCTTACAAAAACCATTTTTATTTTTTTTTTATTTTAGAAATTTTAAAGAAAAGGGAAATTTGATCATTGGGTAAAATTTGAAATAAAAAGCAGAGGAAGAAATTCGCATAAAATAATATTCAGTTAGTGTCTGCAAACACAACGTTACTGCGATAATAATATCACTTTGCTGTTGCTCTTTTCATTCCTTTTTGAGAAATATCATTTCAAAATCTTAAATCAAATTTCGTACAAGTTTTCCGCGCTGCTGAGAACGAGTAAAAAATAAAAAAAAAATTAAATTAATTCGCAAATTATCAGCAGTCAATTAACAATTATCGCGCAGTCGTTCAATTCAATAATTAATTTTCAATGATTTTTCACATGCATCTATCACTATACATATATATACTATACATATATATATATATATATATATATATATATATTGAATGGTTTGCTTCAATGTTATTATCAGTTTCTTTACCATTACTATATATTGTTATGTTTGCTTTCAAAGTATTTCTAGAAAGAGGAAAGGCTTTCGCACGTTTCGATTATTAGTTAAGTGCTGACAGTGAAACTCTTTATCGGCGGTTGCTTTTTGTATTTTGCAATGCACATGTATGTATGGATATATATCGCGGTAATTAAGTTTATTTCACTCTCTCAAATGCCATGCCAAAAAAAGGGCAACAATTCCCAAGACAAAAAAAAAGGAGAAATTCGCTGCCGATACTTTAAAGCAAACCACATACGATTTCATTATTTTAGAGAGTAAAGAGAGTAAAGAGTAAATTATTCTAGTGACCTTGTTTTATAATTTGATTACATTTTTTTTTTTTTTTTTTTTAAGAAAATGTGATATTAATTTTTTACATTTTTTTTTGTCAATACATTGATAATGAATGAATGAATCTTTCTTTTCGTAAAGAGCAAACAATTTTTCGATTAATTATTCGTTTAATTTTTATAATAAAACGAAACATGCAATCTTGGAAAGAAAACGCATTCATTTAATATAATAATCAAATTGAATCCACAAAATTATTCAATGGAAAATAGGTTTTAATTATAATGAAAAGCCAATAAAAACAAAATCATGAAAAATAAAAGAGTGAATATCTTGAAATTATCGCCAAATCGATCTATGAAAAAATGAATAAAAAAAAAAAACAAAAAAGAAAAAACATATATATATAAAACATATATATATATATATATTTATAAAAGAGTTGAAAGAGCTGTTGAAAGTGAATAAACTTACGAGTAGTAAGTTTAAAAATTTTAAACATTTACATTTGATATGAAGCAAAAGGAGAATGAATGGTCGTTTAGCTGCTGTTACCGTCACCGTTACCGTTGCTGCTGCTACCGCTAGTTTTGCTGCTGTTGCCATTGGTATTGCTGATATATTCGCTGCAAAGAGTGAAGCATTTAAGCGAAAGTTTTCATATTAAATATTACGAGTTGTGTGTGATTGATGCTTTATTGCCGCGATCACTTCTTCAATTGGTAATCTTGCGCGTAAAAAGTAGGACAGTTAGATATAAAATATTGCTTTCGTTATTTATTTTTACTCGTCATTTATATGGATGGATGAGAAGTAAACATTTGTACTTCTCCTTATCTGTTTTGTATAATACTTTCTTGCACTCGATGCACTTTATTTTATTATTCGTACCCCAGTTTTTGACTCGATTCTGTTAACTTGTGAAAATTATTGCGTTATTTTCATTCATTTCTTTATTTACAATTCAATGAAAAAGAAAAAAACTTCGAATCTTTTTTGATCCCGATTAGAATCATTCTTTGCTAGTTGTACATTTATTAGCAGGCTTGTCTTATGCAACAACAACAATTATATATAAATAATGCAACTTTTCAACTAATATGGTATATGACTACGCGACGAATTAGGTGACAGGAGCGAGAGAGGGAGAGGGAGAGGGAGAGGGAGAGGGAGAGGGAGGAAGAGCTTGAAGTGAGGAAAATTTATACAATTTTTACTAAACATTTGCTTACAATTTTATAGTCACGATCAAGCATATGTCCATAAATAATGAATATACATAATAAAATGTCTGCTGTGTTACAAGCTAATTGATAAATGTAATATATCTTTAATTCTGCGTCACAAGATTTCTAATAGAGAAACAATTTTAATTATGCCACGAATCTATCGTAATGAAAATGAATAAAAATTTACATTTAAGTCAAGTGTAAAAAACGTACTCTCAACATATCTGGATAAAATTAATTTTACGCTTAACATCGCTGCAATGCTGCATACAATGAATGTTTAACTAGCATTAATATAAAGCTTCGCATATTGATAGACCTGCTTATACGTATATACGTGTATATGTTTGTTATTATGTTTAAAATAAAATAGCACTCACTTGCTATCATCGAAATGGTACAGTACCTCAATTTTCTTTCTGATAAAAGCGAAGTGAACTTGCAAAGTATCTCGAATTTGTAAACAAAAGCCAAATTAAAATAAACGAAGAAAGTTACACTTGAATTGAGACGACCCACAGTCAACGAAGAAGAGCGGTCTCTCCGATAGACTGGAGGCAAAGGACAGAGGGCAAATTGCTTACAATTCCAAAGTTTCAGATTCGCTAACTAAACGGGGCTCTATCAAACGCTTGTGGGCAATGCAAGCGGGATAAATTTATTTATCAAAAAAGTTTTCGTTAAATCTTTTCTAGCCGATATAATTTGCATAAGTTTTTGCGCTGTGTGTGTAAAAAGTAAAAAGTATGCGGGCCATAACAATAACAATGTTTGTGATATACCATAACGTCTGCGACGATTGTAAGTTGTACGACGCGAGCTTTACTTAACGGAATTTGTTAATGCACTCTGCACAAATTTCATTTGCATTTCATTTATGAATAATGAACGCATCCGCAAAGAGCTAATGCTTTACATCTTATCCCAACATTTAGAAGTTCGAAGTCGCTTTTTAAGCTTTTCCTGCATAAAATGTCAATGCCAAGTCCCATAATCTACTCGGTCGCTGAACCCGTATTTAGATGCGATGACATGTGCACAGCTACATGCTTGGTGATGACAAAAAGCGTCGAAATACATTTTGCAATTTGTTTATGGGAAAATGCTCATCCTTTTGCTGAATTGTTTACATAAGTCGTTCATCTATGTAACTGACATCTTTTACACAATTTAGAATCTTAAAACTAAGTGCTTATCAAAAGGGTTATTCCAGCTGTTTTTCTTCTTTTTTTTTTTTTTTTTTTTTTGTTTTTTCTCTAACTAAGCATGCATGAACTGTGTTGCTACTGTCTGGTACATGCATCAAGCTAGAAGTTCATATCCACAAGTAAAAGTGCGTCTGTAACTTCTGTAGGCGTTGAGAACTGAAGTCATTTTATCATTGTTATGTTAGTTGTGCGCAATATTACCAATTCAGAGTGAAAGATCGGCTAGATTCGATAAGGACTGAATAAGTTTTTCACTTTCTGCATTCGCTGCTAGGGACAAACACCTACACTAGTCATCTGGCTACTATTATTCTTCTTGTAGTATAAATCGTCGCCATTGCAAATTTGAACTAATATATGTAACAAAAGTTATAATAACAATTTTTACAAAAACTTAAGACTTATTATTTCTTATCAGTTTCAAATAAATGCACGCGATTTTTGCATTGAAGGCACAAGCTTTAAAGTCTATGCCAAAAAATTTTTGCAGGTTTAAAACGAAATAAAACCGAAAAGGAAAGTGTGGCAGGAGACTCGTAGGATAATTCTCTTTTCTTGCCACGCGCCAACAAACCTCTCTTCCCATTCCGACAAACTTAACACTTTCGGAAAATGTTTCTCTCAGTATCTAATGAGCATCAGAGGATTTTTTTTTTTTTAATGAATTACAAAATGACATCGATTTGAATTTTTTGCTGTTTAACAAAGTCTGGGAAGACCTGTTGGCGAAGGAAATTGTTGTGAGATTTTTTTTGTACGTAAATTTTTTTTTTTTTTAAATTAATAAATAAAAAATATACGAGTGTATGTGTAATAACAGTATATTAGCATAATACCATCTATCTGTCATATTAATGCACTTACAAAAATAGAATTCATATTAAACAACAACAAAAGAAAGAAAATACAAATCACAAGCCAAGTTAATATGTGTATGTAAACATTTCTACTGACAAGGCATACAGTTGATCAGTTGACGAATATGCTTTCTAATTAATATACGTATGCCATGCTCGCAATTATGTGCCCGTATCGCAGCGTTTTTGAATTGATTGAAGATTGCTGACACATACGTTTATAATTTCGAATTAGAATTTGAGTTTACATTATATTTGAATTCGGAAATATTGTTATTTGTTCGCAAGAATGTGCGTAGTATGAGGCGTGAAAATTTACATACACTAAGTGCACATAAAAGTTGGGAGGGATGTGTTGTGAACAGAAAAAAGAAGAAAAAAACGAGAGAATTGTGTGGACAGGGAGCGTATTATTCGCGTATTATTAGAGTATTATTGAAGTTATATTAATTTTTATAAATTTCTTTTTTTTTTCTTCTTTTTTGTTTAACTTTCATACCTTAGCTATTATTGTTTATTTATCTATTTGGATATGTCTATGAAAATATAAAGCGTAAAGAGAACGCGCAAGGCTTATGGCGCGTATGCATGCATACGTATGCGTTTACAATCTGTTGGAATGCGGTCAATCTTGTCGTAGCTTTTCTGTTGTGTGGTTAGGTATGTTTTCTTTGTGTACACTGTGTTGTAAGTGTACAAAGTAAAATATGAACAAGTGTATGAACTTATTAGCATTTCTCCTTAGTTTATATGTATGTATGTACGTATGTATGTATGTATGTATGTATGTTTGTATGCATGTGTGCATGTATGTGTATATATGTATGAATGAATATTTGTATGGATTTGTTAAGGTGTGCGTTTATGTGATGTGTTGTTATTGCCATTTTCCAGTTTCAAAAGTCTGCCTTACAGGTTTATTGACAATTTAGTGTGCGTTTTTCTTTCTTTTTCCTTGCTACTTTGCTTTTGCGATTTGCGTGTATATATATATATATATATATATATATATGTGTGTGTGTGTGTCTGTCTGAGCGAAAAGGCGAGGCAAGGTGCGGCCAATTATATGATCATAAACACATTCGGCTCAAGAGTTTTATTTGTTTAATAAGTTCACACATTATACAAAAAAAAACTACTACCAACTAGCTCAGCAAACATTTGTCAGATTTACTGTTAGGAAAGCCATTTGGTATGCATTATTGTTCAAAGTGCACAATAATAATATTAAATCAAACAATTGAAGTGGAAATGTTGCTCAATAGATTATTGCAATAAAATAGGGGAAAGTCGCGTACGATGACTGCACTACACTGGATGCGGAATAATATCATTTATTAGGATTAACTAAGATCAAAAGTTTCAAATATTTTGTTGAGTATGCAATAAATATGAAAATTAGAATTTCCAATATATTGTTTTTTATTTTTACATCAAAGTCAACCCACGTGCTTTACAATTTCTGCGGAGATGCCGCCTTTGTCAATATTTCATTAATTGGTTTTTCTCTACATTCTTGCTATACCTACACATCTTATATTATTATTATATGAGTTTATCACACATAACATAGATAATGTATCGGTATAAATAGTTTGTTGACGCAGGAGTGGTTTCTAAACAGTTTTTTTGAGACAGTTCTATTGAATTAACCGTCTTGTAGTGTTTTTCTGGCGCATAAAAACTTAACCATTACACTTATAAATGAAATAGGATGCAAATTAAAACAAACACATAAATACTCGGGGAAAGAAATAATGCAAAAGTGATCGCAAAGGAAAAAAAAATGGAAAAATTTCCATTTTTGCTTTTCTTTTTCACTTTTATTTATAAAAAACACCGTCTTGAAAAGGCATATTGCAATGAAAGGCATATTTGAGCGTCGCATTTATTGACCATCTTTGGTATTCTTATATTTATTCTTCATTGGTTGTATTATTACAGAGTCATGTGTTGCATTCAAGGAGTTTTCAAGTAAAATCGAGTTTAAGCGAAAAAGATAAAGACTTGAATTATTGATTTGCATCATGGATTGGTCTGAAGGTGATTTAGTTTGGTTTGATCCTGGAATGGGTCATCCGATACCCGGTGAAGTGCAAGAAGTCCATCGCGCTGCCCAAGTAATAGTTGTACAAGCTCTCATTAAAAATAAGGTACGTTTTACTCTCTCTTCTCTATTTTTTTCTCATTTATTTATTTATTTATTTATTTATTTTTTTTTTGTAAATTTACAAAGTTTTTAATCGAAAGCTGAATGATTTTTAATTTTACGCTTGGGATTCGTGCGCATGGGCAAGACATTCGCTCGTTGTCGTGTATGTTTACGATTTAATCAACGAAAAAAATTTAGCAAATTGTTTACTTCAGAAAAATGAAATTATAATTATATTAATTAAAATTATACAAAAAACTGAAACGTTTCCAGTTTTGTAAATATTTGCCTTTCGCAGAAAATGGAAATGAGACTTCTCGTAAAGCAAGATGATACATTTAATAATATATTTTTTTTTAGCTAAAATAATATCTGTCTGATTTGACTAATGTTGAATTTTATACTTAAAGCCAAAATTCAAAAGATCGCAGAAAGTAATATTTTCAAGCTCAGTTGATAGACAGGAGTCGATCGTTTTAGTAAAAAGCAAGAAAAAAAAAAAATAAAATAAAGAAATGAAACAAAAAAAAGAAAGAAGTAAAACATGTTCTGTTTTATATGTGGGTATTTTTATACTTAGAAATACTCGTACACTCTCTTTGGATTTAAGCATATGTACATGAAAAGTGCATATGATGTGCTGGTGCTGATGTTGATGTTGCATGACAGAAGTCTCTTTTGGCTCATAGCCAAAGAAATTCGTATTAGTTGAGTTAAAGACGTTAGCTGTGTGTTGTTCTTATAAAATGAACGGATCATTTGGCCGTAACACTGCCTCGTTTTTTAACATATCCCAAACAATTGCATACCGCAGGCATTAAATTGCGTTGTTGTAGAAGTGTAGAATTGCAAAAGTCCTTGTTAACAAATGCGTATTGTACGCTTTCATTTGGAACCGTGGCAACGTTGTGGGTCAACAACACCTACTAGTCCTGCAGCTTCGCCTTCGGTAGCAATATTGTCGCCGCACGTTCTAAGACGTCAACGCCCTCCTAGCGTAGAGGACTTTCCTAAACCGGAGCCGTCGCGTTTGCATTACTACACTGATTTGGACCGGAAAATCAAAAGTCGTTATCCACAGAGTGTTAAAAAATTGTCAATGCTTTGCAGTGATGTTCTAGCTAGACATGTTCGTGTAGTCTCATAATTTCTTATGCTTTGCATTGTGTTTTGCGTTGTTCTCTTAATAGTAAAATTAAAACTGTTTTTTTCAGCCCCAAACGTTTGCCTTGCAACCAGGCGAGGGTAACCTGCGGCCACGTCAAGATTTGGATAGTAGCGGGGTCGAAGATATGACTATGCTAGATGACTTACATGAAGCCTCTCTACTATGGAATTTGCGGTTACGTTATGATAAAGGACTAATTTATACATTCGCTGGCAGTATTTTGATTGCTGTCAATCCGTATAAAATGTTTCCAGATTCATATGGGTTGGAAGTGGCCAAACAGTACGCTGGAAAGCCATTAGGAAATATGCCGCCGCATCTCTTTGCGATAGGGGCTGCTGCCCATTCTGCATTACCTTCGCCGCAAGTTGTGGTGATTTCTGGTGAATCAGGTTCAGGCAAAACCGAATCAACAAAACTCGTTATGCAATATTTGGCGGCGGTGGTACCAGGTGGGGGATCTGCTTCAGCGGTAATCACTGAACAAATTCTTGAAGCTGCGCCTTTGCTAGAGGCCTTTGGTAACGCGCGTACCACCCGTAATGATAATAGCTCACGTTTCGGTAAATATTTGGAAGTTTATTTTAAAAATGGAGCTATAGTTGGTGCTAAAATTACGCAATATTTGTTGGAGAAATCTCGCATTGTTACCCAAGCTCCCGGGGAACGTAACTATCATGTATTCTACGAAATGTTGGGTGGTTTGAGTGAGCCAGAACGTAACAAATATGGTCTTTTGGAAGCTGACAAATATTTTTATTTGAATCAAGGGGCTACTGATTGTGCGCCCGGTCGTGTGGATTGGGGTTCACTGCAAAGTGCTATGCAAGTTCTTGGCGTTTCTGAGGGAGAACGGGAAGGTATCATACGTGTATTGGCGTCAGTACTTCACTTGGGCAATGTTTATTTCCATCGCCGTCAATTACGTCATGGACAAGAAGGTGTTGAAGTTGGTTCAGATGCAGAAATTAAATGGGCTGCACACCTGTTGCATATTTCAGCCGAAGGTTTACATCGTGCTTTAACCAGTCGTATTACAGAAGCTCGCTCGGAAAGACTTCACACACCTTTAGGAATAGATCAAGCTCTTGACTCGCGAGATGCCTTTGCGAAGGCTCTGTATGCGGGTCTTTTCAATTGGCTAGTATCTCGTATTAATTCGATCGTTCAAAAGGGAGGCACTCATGATGCTCATCGCATATCGATTTTGGATATTTTTGGATTTGAGGATTTGGCTGAAAATTCTTTCGAACAATTGTGCATTAACTATGCTAACGAAAATTTGCAACTTTACTTTAACAAGCATGTTTTCAAATTGGAACAAGCAGAATATTCGCGTGAACGCTTAGAATGGACGCCTCTGACATGGGATGACAATTTACCGGTTATACATCTTTTGGCAAAAAAGCCTGTGGGCATATTCCATTTATTGGATGACGAATCAAACTTTCCTAGAGCATCTGATATGAGTTTTTTGGAAAAATGTCACTACAATCATGCCTTAAATGAATTGTATTCTCGACCTCGTATAGGAGCTCAAGAGTTCGGCATTACACATTATGCCGGCCAAGTTTGGTATTGTGTTGACGGTTTTTTGGATAAAAATCGTGATGCTTTACGCAGCGATGTGTTGGAGTTATTGGGTTCGAGCAAACTTCAATTAGTGGTAGATCTTACCAAACAGTTAAGAGCTCAACGGGATTCTGGAAAAACTTTGCCCAAAGGAAACAATGGTCGTTTTGTGACGATGAAACCACGCACTCCCACGGTAGCGGCGCGTTTTTCAGATTCTTTGCAACAGCTGCTGCAATCAATGGGACGCTGTAATCCATGGTTTGTGCGCTGTATAAAGCCAAACAATGAAAAGCTTTCTCTTAAAATGGATATGCCATGCGTACTTCAACAGTTGCGTTATTTGGGCATGCTTGATACTATTCGTATACGTCAACGCGGTTATCCGGTGCGTTTGCGATTTCAGCATTTCGTTGAACGTTACCGTCATATGATGAGAACGCCGTTACCAAGAGGAACTCCGTATAGAGAACTTTGCCGGATTCTGTTGGAATCTATGCCCAGCACTAGTATTGAAGGTCCAGATTATCAGCTAGGCGCTACTAGAATATTTTTACGTGAAGCCTTGCATCGTATACTAGAAACTGGACGTTCCGATTGTTTAAAAACGGCTGCTGTAGTTATTCAGAAGAATGTCCGTGGTATGTTAGTCCGTCGGCTTATTTCGCGTAAAAAAGTGGCTGCGATTCGAATACAAGCAAAATGGAAAGGGTATCGTGAACGCAAAAATTTCCAAGCCTTACTGGAGGCAGTTTTGAAAGCCCAGGCTCTGTGGCGTGGTAAATTAGGACGCAAGCACGTTGAAAAATTGCGTGTAGAACACAAGAGGCGCTTAGAGGCACAGAAAGCTCAAAAGGAACGTGAAGCTAAGAAATTAGCGCGAGAGAATTTGGAACGCAGTCAACTTTCTTATTTAGATATTCCAGCGGAATTGGCTTTTATATATTCAAAAATTGATGGTTGGACTCCTTTGCATGGCGATCGTCATCTAGTGAAAGTAGTAGGCACTGTGCCTGGGCCGCCTGTCTCCGCCGATCTGCCTAAGGATCTTGATCAGTTTTCTTTTGGAAAGTTTAGTTCTGTTTATTGCAACGGGTTGCGTCTTTCTCCACGAAGGGAACCTATTACTGCACCTTTTCTAACTAGAGCCGCTTCTAGAGATCAGGATTTTCAAAATGCGTTAGCAGTTTTCAAATTGATATTGCGCTGGGCAAATGATAAAATGATGGATGGCAACAAAGAAAAGGTCCTATCTGACTACATTGTTCATAAAGGGCTCTCTTCACGTGGATTACGCGATGAAATATTAGTTCAGCTGTGTAATCAAGTTTATACCGCTGATGAAGATCAGGCTATGCGCATATGGCAATTGATGGCACTTAGTTTATCTTGTTTCCAGCCTGGACCAGCATTTAGTAAATATTTGATCAAATTCATTGTGGACAATGCTCCTGATTCTATCCGAGATATTATGTTAAAAAAAATCCTTCGCAATACCGGAAGCACGAATACGCAAGCTTGTAGAAACTTTCCCCCTTCGTGGGTGGAATGGCGAGCCGTTACGCGCTTGTCCGATATAGCAGTGGCGTTAACGTTACCCGATGATGTTATTCAAACAGTCGCTATTGATTCGTGGACTACTTGTGAGGAAGCCGCTTCTCTAGCTATATCCACGCTGGGAATATCTAATCGTGGTTGGACAGTTGTATTTGATGACGGAAAATTAATCAGTGACTCCTGCGGCTTAGATTATGTTCTTGACTTAATATCTGAAAAGGAACTTTGTCCCGCTTTTCCAGCACTGCGTAGTGACTTGATGACCACAGGCGCAAAGTTTAATAGATTTATAATGCCAGAAAGTGAAACAAATACACCTAAAAGACCCCAAGTACCACCGCCAGAACCACCCAAGATTAAAGTAAATCCAATCAGCGAATCACCAATTTCTGATTCAAATAATGAGCAACCGATTCGAAAGAACTCAAGAAATCTACTTTCCAGAAGTTCAGCTTTAAATGAACGATACTTTGAACAAGAAAAAACAAGGTCGAAATCATTAGACGATTTGCTAACAGGTAATGATACCGACTTGGAACCTTCCACAGAACCAGAACCCTTAACCGAGCTGGGTCTTTCTGAAAGTCGTCTAAATGACCGATATCATTCTGCTGAACGGCTTACTCCAAACATGGGTAAGGACGGAGGACCTCGTTATCAAAAATCTCAATACGCTGGACGTCGTTCACACGCTGGTTCACATTCGAGTAAATATGTTGATAAGTCGGAATATGCAACACGTTCTTCTGCCATGTCGGATACTAGTGAAGCTCCGTCCTTGGCATCACACGTACGCCGAGTGCGCGTACCGTCCCAAGCATCGGATGTTGACCAATTTTTAGATGATTTATTTAGTCCCGTATTGGATGGCTCTTTAGACGAACTCTCAGACGCGAGGTCTTTGGCTGCCAGTATACGTGGAGGTAAATCGGTGGAATATAGAGATGGGAATGATTTTTTCGAAGCCCCTTTCGTTGATGAAGACATGCTGTGGAAAGTGTCTTGTTTAAGTCAAAAAATTAAAGGAGGTGGCGAAAAAAGTGGCGGAGAAGCAAATTCAGCCAATTTGGACGAATATATTACTGGACTGTTCAAACCAATTTTTGTTAACGACGCTGTTAAAGTTTTAACAGAACAAAACGATCTAATAGAAACAATTAAAGGAGGAGGTGGAACTACACATAGTCCGCAGAAACCTACAAGTAGTTTTGTTACTTCTCCAATTATCGGACCTATAAGCCCTTTATTAGGCAACTCTGATAGTTTATTGCAAATAGTCAATATTCCGCCAGACGCCGATCCAGCTATATATCAGCATCAGGTGCAAAGAGCATTTCTACAATCGGCTATGGCACAAAATTTACAGATTCAGCAGCAACTCTTGGCTCAGAATCAGGCTTTGCAAACCTTACTCAGTCAGCAAGATTCAGCAGCTGGTACTACTTCACCTCCTCTCATACCAGTATTAGCTGCAGTGCAGCAAACGCCAGGTGCAAATAATAGCATAACGACGAAGATGAACATAACAGCTGCCGAACCGCAAAGACACATTCGTAAACAAAGTGTTAAAAATCGAATTTCTCAATTTTCAGAAAATGAACGCAATCGTAAGGCTTCCTCAGAAAGTAATGGATCTTTAATTCCTCCGCCACCACCTCCTCCAATGCCTCCACCTATTGAAATCAAAGATCCGTCAGAAACGCGGCATTTCTTAGATCCATATGGTCGTGCTAAAACTGTCAGAATTGGAAAGTGGCGTTGGCCTCCGCCGCAGGATGGGCCACAATTTGAAACGGAAGAAGATTTTTTTGCTTTTAAGATGAGACAAAATCAGCGCAAGACAACTCCTCAATCCCAGTTAAATAGTAGCAATGGATCATTAGCGGGCTCCGTAATGGAATGGGAAGAATATGAAGTGGATAATTCGAAAAGTCCATCACCAGCAGCTAATATGCCTATACTAGCGACACAAATTGTTAGAACTCAAATTAAGGTCGAAACTGGATCGAAAAATATCAATAATAAGCCAGTATTTGAGCAAATTCAACAACAAACCTCTAAGATAACAAAAAAGAGTTTCGAAATCGGAGCCGATCGACCACCGCCAGGTAGTGTTGGTAAGCTAAAGCTAAGTTCAGAAATGCGTCAACGGTTGGAACAAGTGACAGCTGGACATTCTATTCGTTCAACGGTCAGTACTAAGTCAGAACAACGAGCTCCTGCCAAATTAGAAGACACTCGCAAAATGATGCTTCAACAGCAGTTAAGTGGACATTTCGGTAACGTGGAAATCGCTGTGCCGGATGTGCAATCTGTGCGTTCTCAAATAGAGCGCATGGAAGGTAAATTATCGCCTCAGCCCAATTGGCCATCGCATGTACCACCTGCCCCCTCAATACCAGCACCACCACCCCCTATTAGACCGCCCAATGTAGCACCACCAGCGCCGCCACCCGTGCCGAAGAGTCCGCCAGTCCAATCAACAAAAAAGGAGGAAAATGATTATAGAAGTCAAAATAAAGATGTACCGGCATTTATACAACGTCAAGAAAGGGACACCTTCGGCGTACGTCACAAATGGAATACCGCAGAGGATTCGAAAAATGTTTATGATTCTTGGGGTCGATCAGAGGCAGCTAAATTGGATATGGTGTATGAAACCAGTTTTAAAAAAGAGATTAAACATGAGCGGGATCGTTCTCGCTCCAGATCTCGATCAAGAGATCGTGATGATTTCTCTGAGTCAGTTTGGGATCGTACGGAAGTCGAAGGACCAGGATCAAGCGGTAGTGATCGTGAACGCGAAAAAGAGCGTGAAAAGCGTGAAAGAATTTATGAAATGCGGCAAGTGGAACGTGAAAAGGAAAGCAATAAAGTTTATCAGCCAGCTCCACCTAAAGTAATTACTGCTACTACTGAACGCTCTAACGACTATGGATCGACAATTGAACGAAAGTACTCATATCAAGGGACAGTATTGGAGCAAAAGAGAATAGTTTGCGCAACAACTGTACCTAATAATAGTACTCCAGCTACATTTCGCACTCACATGGCTCAAAAATATGAAAAGGAACGGAAAAGAAAAACTTCAGCTTCAACCACAATGTCGCAGAATACACGGCGAGATGAGGAAGTAGATGTAGGGGATGAATGGCCTTTACCAGCTGTACCAGCGCCTGTTCTCGCACCTTCGTCTCTGAAAAGTCCAGCCAACGCATGCCTTACTTATAATCGTGTGCCATGGAAGTTAAGAGTTCGCAAAGAAGTCTTCCATCCGAACGAACCTATAGGCTCTCCAGTAGCTCTCGATCTGCTATTTGCCCAAGTGATATCTGACGTTTTCGGTATTACACCCTCTCTACGTATTTCTCCACAAGAAAAGACGGCCGCTATAAACATGTTAAGCGGTCACGGTGTTACAGTAGACACTATTCACAGTCAAAATGTACGTGCTCTTGTGAAGCGCCATCTTATAGATTTAGCTCGTGAGTGGCCATTGTATTTTGCGCGTCTGTTTCCAATTCAAGGTGCACCACAATATTCAGATGTTTCAATTATGGGTATATCGCATAATGGCATTTTTCTAGCGAGACGTGACGCCGATTATTTGATTGTTGTGCAATCTATGCCGTATTCGGAGATACAAAATATAATCACATTGCCGAGACCGGCATCATTACAATTAAATTTGCGTAATGGAAAAATTGTCGCATTACACGCCACTAGAGCAGCAGCTATACAGGCGATGGTTACCAGCTTTGTACAGGAATTTAGAAAAGTAAGTAATGTTTTACATTACATTCTTAAATTCATGAGTAGATGCATTGATAAAATGAATGGTTGTGTGCTAAATGAATTAAAATTTATATTCAAAAATTCTCAAAATTAAGAGATCATATCTTTTCTAACCTGAAATATATATATATATGTTCACAACGAAAATGAATTTCTTATGTATGTACTTGCGTTCTCAGTCGTTAAAGGCATAAAGATTGAGAAAGACTTTGTAAAGGAACCGAAAACAAAAAATATTCAAAATTGTGGTAGCTTTGAGAACAGCTCCAAACCGATCCCCTTTAACGTCTATAAATGAGAGTCAAAATTTATTTTTTTTTTTGTGCTTTTTTTGTTTTTAATTACATCATATGATGAATGGCTAAATTTTATCGCGATATGTATGAAAATTTTCTCACTTACCTTATTGTAGGTTGACGTACAACTGCAACGTTAAGCATGCCACTATTTGCACTTAAAAATGTTGAGTGTGATTCATATTCAGCGATATATAATGTTAGTCAAAAATATCGTATATACGTATCAAACTTTATTGTGCACTTCCGTTTTGCATTTTGCTTTTCATGCGAAAACTACGAGCGAATGTTGGCTTGCAATATCTATTCGAATGTGTATATATTTGTTTCAATATTATTCATGTACATTTGCATGTGCATATGCATACGTGTGTATGCATTTGTATGTTGATTGGCAAAATCTGCTTTGAATAAAATTACTAATTTGTGCAGCGATATGTCGTTCAACTCATATAAACTCAAGGAAATTTCATAATTTCGCCTCAAGCCTCAAGCGAGTAAATATAACATCTGACGGTATGGTCCAGTTTAAATGAAATTACAAAAGTAAATTCACAATAAGAAGACGAATCCGTATAAAATCTTTATATAAAGTGAACGTGAAATCACTGAAAATTGAAAACATAGCTATTTTCGAGGAAACATAATTTTGTCGAATCTTCTTGCTTTGCGAGCCAAAGTTTCAATGTGCTGCAGCCAAAAAACCGTTAATAATTAACCATTCAGCATTTAATATCGGCGCCGTCTTATCACACATCTGCTTCTATACTATTGTAGATATATGTATGTTATATGCAAAAGTGACGCCTATCTGAGCTTAAAACCTTGTATAGTTCGCGTCGCGTTTGCTGTAATTAATCCTAAATTATGTATAAAAGTAAATGCGTGTGTGTGTATGCGTTTTTGTATGTACGTTTACGATTTGTGATGACTTATGTGAACCTGATTCATGGAATTAATAAAACCACGGAGCTAAGAGCTAAGCTTTTGTTTTAATATGTTTGGGTATCGTTTCGTTGGCGTTTCGATGGCGCATTGAAATTGCCAAAAAAACATAAAATTATTTTATTTACAGGTGTGAGTTTAAGTGCATGCACTCATGTATTTTCGTATGATATTAAGCTAATTTTGAACACAATCAAATCTAAACGTCAAAGTATTTTATTTATGTATGTTATACACAATATGTATACATGCAATATACAAGCATAGGCCATAACTGAGGGAAACATCGCTCTGAATGCAGAAATTGAAAATCTTATATTATTTAAAATACTGGTAAAACAAGTTAATGGCTATAGCTGCTTACATATGCACATTTAATACGGTTGCAATTTACTGAAAGCAAAACAAAAAAAGAGAAAAAAAAAAAGAAAAAAAGACATGTGTTGAATAAGGCTAACGTAGCAATGAAAATACAATATATATATATATATGTAAATGTGTATGCATATGTGCGTACGTATATATGTATGTATGTAAAATGTAAAAAAGAAAATAAGAAAAAAAAAAAAAATGAAATAAAAACAAAACTACGATTACATGCAACGAATACATACATATCCACATGTGCACAATACATCAACGGAGATACATTTCACTCAATACAAGTGCGATGATTTATACGTGCTTTCATAGTTACACGAGCTTCCATACATGTTCGTCCGTTTTTAAGCATCGTTGATTTCTGCTTAGTGAAATGGTCAAGCATTCGTTGTAGCGTTTTTATGTTTTCAGTTAACGAAAACATGTCCAATCGCGATCATCGCGATCATCTATAAAACGGGAATTAAGCAAAGAATGCATTTAAAAAACAAAACAAACAAGCAAGCAAAGCAAAGCAAGAAAATTTGAACATCGTGGGGTTTTTGCAAAATAGAAGAAGAAGAGGAAGAAGAAAAAAAAGATGATGATGATGATAATGATGATGATGATGATGATGATGAAAAAAGAAAAGGAAGACGAGTAAGAAGAAGAAATAGAGGAAGGAATAACAGTTAATTTAACCGAAACATTTTATTATAAAATATATTCTTGTAAATTATTTAATTTTGTTGTTTTGTTGTATGTCTGTTAAGCAAATGATTTATAAGTCAATGCATAAATAAATAAATTAACAAATAATTTAAATATTTATTAAGAGAAATGAATGCGAACGTAATGAGATTTTCCATATATCCACATACACATACAAAATTATATACGAGTAAATCCGGTTAGAAAATTTTAGTGACACTTCTATGCTCTGCTATGCTACGCTTTGCTGTACCGTACTGTGCTTTGCTGTGCTGTGCTGTGCTGTGCTGTGCTGTGCTCTGCTATGCTATGTTCACCTTATAAGAACATATCTGTGACCGTATCAGATTGCAATTAAAAGAATGTTAAAGTCAAAAGGACTGGTGGCGGCGATTGATGCGTTTTTTTTTGCGCACAAACACAAACAAACAAAAAAACAAACAAACAAACAAACAAACACACTCACACGCGCATGCAATATAAGGCCTTTCATATAAAAATACAAAACATTGCTTCTACGGTAACTTTCACTGTCAGTGTAACTATGATTGTCGCAAACACGAATAATGGTAGACTAGTCCGTGTCGGCCAGGCCAAAAGCGTTAATGAAATTGGTGCAAAGATTGAGTACATTTTTATGTTTTTCTGCATATGCTGAAGATCATGAATTAATGTAACCAGGTGCAGTTATACAACAACAATAGCAATAACGGTAGTGAAAATAACAAAAAAAAAAAAAAAAAAAAAAAAAAAAAAAAAAAAAACCAGCGACAGGTGAAACGAGTAATCGATGTTCGAGCATCATGTCGGAGAGTTTGCGTTGCGTCAAATCTTCACCTCGAAATCAGGTGGGGCAAGGTCCCGCACATCACAATACCATGCCGTATAAATTTAGCAGTATTTTTAGTAAAGTAGAATCTTTAATAAACAAAATGAATCATGATAAGCAGCAGCAGAATCGGCATAAGCTGATGAATGGTTTAGAAGACGATGATAAGCATAAAATGGATAAAATTGTTCAATCAACTGCAATCAATGAAGCACCAATAGAATATCCTCAATGCAGTGAATGTGAGACTGAAAACCAATTAAAGCGAAATAATTCTAATTCATTGGATTCGCTAAATAATTTCTCTGAACCAGAAAGTGCTTATAATGAAAATTATGAAAATGGCATCAACAGTAATCACGATAGCAGCATTAATAACAACAATAATAATAGTAATAATAGTAATAATAATAATAATAATAATAATGCCAATAACAATAATAACAACAACATTAATTGCATAAATGAACGTTTATCAAATCATGATATCTACACAGATTCAGACGATGCTGAAATAGCTCACATTACGGGCACAACATCAGCACAAGTTCATCGACACTTCGAATTGGATCAGTTGACCGATGAAACCATACGTGAGTTCAATGAACAATGCTCTTCGTTAAGTCACGATTCCGATTTTTATAATTCTTGGCAAAATGAAGACGAACTAGAAAAATTGCAACAACAAAGGCTACAAATAACTAAAAACAACATGAATGAAGAATGTAATAGCTATCATGGTCATAATGATGCCTATAATAAACATAATACCGTTGAAGAAGACACAGAGAAGCATGTTGACAATGTTAAGGATAGCTTGCAATATGAAGATTTAATGAAAGACAATAACAATAATAATCAATGTTTATACGATAGAGCAACGCAAGAATGGTCCGATAAATTTGATAGTGATTCTATTGATGAGCAAAGCGCTATCGACTTGATGACGGGTAAACTTCCATTAAGTTCAATACAGCAAATTGTCAATAATATAACCCAAAGCACGAACAAATCGTCGCCGGCAGCAACAACAACAGCAACAACAACAGCAACAACAATAACAACAATAGCGGTATCGTCACAATTACAAAATAACTTATGTAGCAATGGCGTTTTAAATGTGTCCAAAGCGCGTCGTTCAAGCGTAGCTAGCAGTGGTTCTGTGGGTCGTATGGAGACCATATTGGAAGAACCAACAGAGTGTAAAATTTCTGTGAAAGAAATATTGGCGCGTTTCGAAACCATGACAAAATCTGAGGTAAAGTATTAGATGAATAAATGCATTTGGCTTTCGCTTATTTATCAAATATCTAAACACAAAATGCACATAATTGCACATAGAAGAAGCGAAGGTTTTCAGAGAGGATGAAAGCGTTTTCATATCAATTTCCATATATTGAAGGATGGGAATATATTATTCGATTGTCATTCCCAAATTTGGTAGATACATTGAGATTAACTCTGAAGAATTTGCTTCATTTTGTCTGCTTGTTAGCCTTATTCGTTCCCACAAATAAATGTTTTTAAATATATTCGTGAGATTTGATAAAGCGTCTAAAGCGAATGTTGTTCTGGAATTTGTATTCTAAATATTGTTTTCAATCGGCTAAATGACGCATCGGCAGTTAATAAAAAAAAAAACAGTATGATATGCTTATTTCCGAGAGATAAAGGATATTCCAGATGTAATGTAATTTTTTTGCCTGCTATATCCAACACTACGATATGATGGTGCGCTACCAGTTGGCTCCATTTGCAAATTAAGATACTTGAAAATGCAAAAATTTTGAAAAAATATTCATTTATCAGCGGAAGATACTTAATCGTTTTAGCCATGTTCGT